AATTTTCACAGGGTGTGGAAAGTACCTAATACCCCCTCAGCTTCATTGGACTCTAACACGGTATATGTCTTATAACGTAGACATCTTTACACTTTTCTTTTTATCTGACAACTTTCTCTTTCATCCAGTTTTACCTTTATTTCAAATCTGTTTTTGCACGCCTTTATAGCTATGATTTGGTCCTTGAAATTCATTTTGAATTTCAAAATACATCTGCACCATCAATATTGTTCTCATCTCTGATTTCCGACGACTTCTAACCTTGGTGTACGGCGAGTTATTGTCCGGTTACATCTTTGCTTCAACTCTATCTGCGAGCCTCTTCAGCTTTATCGGCGAGCGTCTTCAGTTTTATTGTCGAGCCTCTTCAGTTTTATCGGCGAGCCTCGATATCCGAAAATGGTCGACAAGTCTTTCACACGCACGGAGCCTGCTTCCGCGACCAAGACCGAAAGGTACGTCTACTACTTTTTCTGGGTTTCTCCGTTTGTTGATGGGCAAAAATGGTCGTAAATGGTGCTGTGGTTGTACTGAACTCTGATTTTACTCCCAACACGCGCGTACTGTCTCTTTAATTTTGCAGATCTAGATTTAATATGTTCGCCAATAAATTACCTCTAGTTAGTCCGTAGAAATCGTTTCTGCTCATTATGAAATGGATGAAATTACATTCCACCTCCTTTGTCTTCTTTATCCGCAAACCGGTTTGGATATACGTTTCGTAGATCTCGCCTACCGAGACTGTCTATCAACGATCTATGTATCACAAGTAGTCCACTTTATAATAGTTAACTACTTGAAATACATAGTCTCCTATTACTTTTCACCTGAGTAGTTATTTACGAGAACAATAGAGTTTTCTTTATCGGTAGTTAACTAAGTGTCTGCTATGTTTTGAAGAGATTTGTTATTATCGATATTTGGGTTTCTTGATTTTGTAGATCTAAGTAGCTAACTATTTTTTTTATGCATTACAAGTATATAGTAATTACATTGAGTATCATTGTTAGTAATTGTCTACTCTTAACAATGACAACCGATACAATAAATAACTACAACATTTTCAGTTAGTCTACTTAATTACTATGTTCATGTAACCAATAAATAGCTAGGACATACTCATAAACAAATGGCATTTTGTTATAAAGTAGTTGTCTACTTATTAGAGTAGGTACCTATTAATATAGTCAACTATCTTATTTGGTTATACCTGAAACCACTTTTGTCGCCATTGTTGACTATTTTCTGATTTAACCATGTAGTAGACGTCTATATTTGGTTTAATATGTATTCAATTATTTTTCCTTTTTATTTGATAATTAACTACTCCGTAATACTAGACAATAACTTGTTTAACATGTAGTAGTCTACTAGTGGTAGTAGATTGTTATTGCAATAGTAGACTAGAAAGATTTAGTTGTCTATTTTTTGAAATAATATTTATTTCTCTGATTTACATGACCGTGTGGTAAAGATGGATGTGAGAAGCTGGATAAGTTGGATGTAATCTGTCTGGCTGGTGAAGAGATGAACTTTGACAAAGGTGATGATGAATCTGAGGGGAACAATGAAGTCTTGCATGATTTTGCAGTGGGGAGAAAGTCAACATTTTTCTTAGTTAATAGTCGACTATTAATGTCTATGATTAATTTATCAGAATATGCGGTTATGTAATAGATGATTATGTTTGGTTTAATATGCAATTATAGAAAATATCTTCCATAACATCTTACACTTTTAGAGTGAGAGGATGTTCGTTTGAGGCAGATGCAACTTTTTTATAAAAATAGTCATCTACTAGATAACTGTTTAATCTGTGCAAATAATACTTTCCATTTTCCTGTTGTAAACTTCATACTCATCGTGCCCGAAAACAGCCACCTACATTTAAACATAATCATCTACTAGTAGTCGTCTACTATAAATAAATGAACACAACAAAACAAATGAATGAGAATTTAAAAGGACGCCTATACTGAAGTGATAGGCGACTAGTTGGTATATGTCAATTTTTCTTGAACTTGGTGCAACCACAGAAAGTATCGTCCATAATGTCTCACACTTTCGCAGTGAGATGATATTCGTCTTAAGCAGATGCAGTTTTTTTTATACAAATGGTCATTTACTAGATAATCGCATACTCTGCGCAAATGATACTTTCCATTTTCCTGTTGTAAACTTCATACTCATCGTGCCCGAAAACAGCCATCTACATTTAAACATAATCATATATTAGTAGTCGTCTACTATAAATGTATGAACACAACAAACAAATAAATGAGAATTTAAAAGGACGTCTATATTGAAGTGATAGGCAACTAGTTGATATATGTTTATTTACCTTGAACTTGGTGCAACCATAGAAATCATTGCCCATAATGTCTCACACTTTCGCAGTCAGATGATACTCGTCTTAAGAGGATGTAGCTTTTTATGAAAATAGTCGTCTACAACATAACCGCATACTTTGAACAGATAATTATTTTTTATAAAAATAGTCAACTATGGTCATAAAGTTATCTCAGATTTCAAATGAACTTAGGTTTAATGGACACCGTGTATAATTTTTTGAGAAATACGAACTGGAAAGCCAAATCGCAAAATTAGATTAATTAAATCAATGCTGCATCACCTGAAGTTTAACATTGTGTTCAACAAAAGAATCAGAGAAGAAAAGGATGAGAAAAATGACGAAGAAGAAAAGAAGAATGTCGAAGAAGAAAATAAGTATGGCGGAGAGAGAAAGAGACAACAAATACTAATTTTTCTGTAAAATAAAAGAAAAAACATTAAAGTTGTAGCTGTTATCTTATAAAAAAGATGATATCGTTTTAATATACCAAGTTGATGTGGTCCCAATGTCTGCCATAAAAAGTTGTGTCTAAAATCAGAGAGCAAGGGTTAGGGGGTAATTTCTACATACTTTTTCAGGTTGACTTGTGCTATTTAGTGAATTGACCGCTTTTTAATGCTATTCTCCTAATTTGTTCTCTTCAACCTAATATTGATGCTATTTAGTGAGTTAATTGAATTTTTTGGCCTGTTAAATCTGTAGCCCATGTTTAAAGCAACAAATAGTTTGAAACCCTAGTGTATGTAATACTGAAATAGCTTCACCAATGTGCGCAAAAACAGAGTAAGCTTAAATCTTTTGAACGAGGGCTTAAATAGAGGCCAACCGTAGAGAGATTTATCACAAAGGGATTATATATGTCTCACATCAATGTGCGCAGGATTTCAATGGTTTGTATAAATGCATTTGCTTTATATTTTTTTTTCTTTTTTGTGGAAATTTTTAAATGAAAGGTTTTCGATAATCAATGTAAATATGCAACGTGTTTAGATTTATGTATACTTTCACCTAAAGCATATAGTACAATAAAAATTTGATTTTATTATTGATCAAAACATAATGTAGCTAAAATTTAATTAAACCTCCGAAGTATTTGTTGATATTGTATTGTTAGAATAGCGCGATCCATAATTAATCACACCACTCGATGTTATGTTGTATAACTAATTAAAAATGTCCATAATCATTTTTACAAATATGAACTGAAAAAGCTCTCCAATTTATATCCCTACGCGAAACCGTTATGACTCGACCCTAATGGGCCATAAATTTTGAAAACCAAAACAGTTTTCACTTTTTATTTATTTATTTTATATTTGAAATCAATATTCTTTTTTCAGTCATCTACCTCGAGAAATTGAGAAATAAATTAATTTTTAACGTAATTTATTATATTTTCTACTTTCATGAAAAACTCTACGGAATAAAAAATAAATTTATTTTTTGTTTACATGGGTATACATAAGGCTCGAGAAAGCCTTTAACGTTTAAAATTTTGAAAACTAAACCATACAAAAACTGAAATATGAAGATTGTCTAAGTCTTTGCTGATAAAACAAAATCAGCTTCATTATTTTTGAATCTTTGTAGTAAACGAGAACGGAAGGAAAACAAACTTGTGGCTGGAGTCCATCATTAATCACGAGTTCACTACTAAACGAGCATTAGTTATACATTACATAACATCACAACATTCAATTATCAATACTTTATTTTAAAGTGTTAGTATACGTATCAAATTAACATATATAAAAAGATGAACCTTATTCTATTCTTGAATTTTTTTTTGAGTTTCTACGTAGTTATGGAAGTTACTTAACGGTTTAAAACTTGACCAGTCGCATGCCTATTGTATCTATCGAAATAAGGCAATGATCGAATTGTAAAAGGCATGAATAGCTTTTGATATCAAAACTATTAACAAATCTTGAATTATATATTGTGTAATATACAGATAACTTAAATTTAGTTTACATATTAAGATTGTTTTATGCTTCCATAAATCTAAAACAAATCTGTAGTTACATTTTTCCCTGACTGAAAGAAAAATATTATTTAATTCTAAGAAAAAAAGAGAAAATATAATTCCACAAAAAATTTCTATTAAAAATCTTTTATGCATATACAAAATTGTTCTATGTTTACTTTTTTGTAAATTAATTAATCATTTTCTAAAACATTGTATAAAAAACGAACGACTGATACAATTCTGGTCAAAATTTATAAATGAAATAACAACTAACTATATATAGATTCTTCTGTCAGTCGTGATTATCGCAAATTCTCAAATTATATCGGTCAAGAAAAACTATAATATTCCCAAAATAATTGTATTTATTAATATCAATGCTATAATATCAATTACCATGTGTTTGATAAGATTTTGAATTATGTAAACTAATAAATTATATTTTAGACTAAGTATTTTTTTAGAGTTAAAAACTATACTATAAGTAGGGTCAAATGATGAAATAAAATATATTATGATAGAAACTAATATATTTTTCTTTCTCTGGTGTTGTTTGCAATTTATGACTTTGTTGGATCCACAATTTCAATTCTTCTTTTTATATATGTTCATGCAATAGCTTGTTTTTCCCCAACTCGGTTATTTTCTCAAACCTTCATATCATATATTTTTGAGAAAATGACTGAAAAGTTATCCGTAAATTTGGCCGGAAACACAGTTCCTGAACGCATTGGTGATATTTCAGTTCTGCTAATCGATAATGACACTATATCAATTGGATCTCTCACTTCAATGCTTAAGCAATTTTCGTATAAAGGTTAAAAAAAACTATTATTTTCTTTTCTTTTACCATTTATATTGATGTTGATCGTTTTTCAATTTACATATCAACTATATTGTTCTAAACATTTTCATTTGTTATGTTACATTCAAAAGCTCTAGATCTTGTGATTTTTATTGTATAAATCAAGATCTCTGAACTAATTTGAAAAAAGCAAAATCGCATAGATAATAATAACTTATAATTTTATTTACAGAATATTAAAGCTATAGGCTACTGATTGGTCTTGGATCTCAGTTTTGAAGATGATTTTCTTACAAACTTTTTTGTTGGAAATCCTAATCACCTATGTTTATTAGTTTGGATAATAATCTATCTTATATATTGGATACAATTTTGTAAAAACCATTGAATTTTAGTATAATCTATATTTTTCGGAATAAATATGAGATTTTGATATCTGACGTTATTTAGAAATGATTTTTTTTAACATGATTTCGAATGTTTGGTATTAGCCAAAAAAAGTTTTCAAATATTCATATATATATATATATATGTATATATATATATTGTATCATGTATTATGTTTTAGATTAGTCGATCATCAAATATAATTGACAATACGCATGTAAATTTCTCTTTTTAAATATTTTTTGTAAATAAATAAAAATCGATAAGAAAAAATTCAATAAAATATTTGAACTTTAACTTCTTATAATTTTTTATTGAGTACCCTAGATATTCGGTGTTATTAGGAAAATAATTGTTGAGTTTTAATACATATACTCTATATTTTTATCGGATAATCAGATTGTCATATATCTGGTTCTAGTCCAAAAAGTGCTTTCAAATATTATTATTATTATTATTATTATTATTATATATATATATATATATATATATAATGTACTAGGTTAGCCAATCATCAAATATAACCGAAAATATGTGTGTTAATGTATTATTTTTTCAATTTTTTATATAACTAAAAACTAATAAAAAAAAACGTTATTGTTTTCAACAATGTTTTTTTTTGGATTTTGTAAATATCTAATATATAAATTGATGTACTAGTGGTGAGCGTGAACATGGCAAGTGAGGCTTTATCGATGATCGAAAAACAAAAGGATATTGGACTTGTCATAGCCAACATTGAAATGCCTCACATCGACTCACATTCCTTCCTCACTGCTTTGCTTCACAAAGAAATTCCTCTTATACGTAAGTAAACATTTACACATCTTTCTTTCGTTTAATCTTTACACTGTTTGTTAGTTTCTTCCACAAGTTAAATAATCTATTTTTTTCGATGTTAAAGTGATAAGTCCCGAAATGGACAACAAGGAAGCATCGGATCTTTTAACAAAAAGTGCACATTTTTGTCTAAAGAAGCCGATTTCTGAAAACGACATCAAAAACCTGTGGCAGCATGTGGTACCTAAGAAGAGCCAAGAGTTAGAGAAAATCAACATCACTGAACAACAAGAGAAAGTTGTGGAGAAAAGTATACTAAATCAGATTGAATCTTTTAGAGAAACCATAAAGAGGCAGAGAACAAGTCAATCATCTTTGTTAGGAAGACGACCCTTCGTCAAAACATTTACAACCCCTGAAACATACCAAAAGAGAAATGGCAAAGCAATTAATGAAGGGAAAACTAAACCGGTTTACCCCACTGAGGCTGCAAAAAAGAGAGGGGAAGGAATAAAAATGGAGAGTAATGTTGGAAGACGATGCAATGTATGGACTCAGGACCGTCAAATGAAATTTTTAACAGCTATCTCCATATTGGGTGAAAAAGGTAAGATTTCTATTTCATTTTTTTGGGACCAATTCTTCTTTGTTTCTACCATTTGATTACAGTTCTTTATCATGCAGATTCTCGTCCCAAATCCATATTGAGCATTATGAATGACTCAGACTTGAATCTTCGCCAAGTCGGTAGCCACCTTCAGGTTCATATATATACACTTATATACAGTTTTCTTCAAAACATAATTTTGCTAGCCTTATGAAACCTTATTTTATTCTATGATTAATTGTTTCAGAAATACAAAGCTCAAGTTGAGCTAATGAACGATTCATTGTCAAAGAATGAATGGAGGTCAACAGATAAGACATTCAACTACCCTTCAGACTATGAATATCCTTTCAATGCATCCAACTTAGCAAAGAATATCGTTAAAAGTAACACAAAGTGGTATTCCCTGAAAAAGAAGGAAGCGTCCTCATCATCTATCGACCAATGTAAGTCATGTTTTTTTACTATATAAATACTTTTCACAATTCTACATAATTATGTATCATCTTTGTGTCAATATTGTCTTTTGTTTTTCTTGTATGCAGATTCATTTAAAAAATCTGCTGGCAAAGAGAAAGCGAGGATGATGCCTAAATTTCATCTAGGTGGAAAATTGGATCTGAGTAAGCACTCATTTTTTGATAACATGTTAAACAAGTCACCCATGGAAGCCAAGTCACCTTCAGCCACAAGTAACAACCCACCTTCCCATATTTCTTCTACCAATTATGTTAACAATAGTGTCTTAAGTAGTGATAATCCTCCTGTCCTTTCTGGTTTGCCATCAAGTGTTGGTGCATCTAACTATAGTGGCTTAAGTGATAACCCTCTTGTCCTTGCTGGTTTACCATCAATTGTTAGTGCATCTAACCATAGTGGCTTAAGTAGTGATAACCCTCCTGTCCTTTCTGGTTTGCCATCAAGTGTTGGCGCATCTAACCATAGTGGCTTAAGTGATAACTCTCTCATTATTTCTGGTTTGCCATCAAGTGTTAGTGCATCTAACACAGATGCATTACAGATTTGTACTCCTCATTCTGAACCAAACCCATTTCAACCTAGCTCATCTGTTCTTGAATTCGATTGGAACCAACTAGATCTAGACTCCATTTATATACCAGAGGCTTACGTTCCTCAAGCTGATCTGTTCACTATGGGAGAAAGTTATTTTCTTCCAGATCTAGACGTTACCATGAACCCTTTAGAAACCAATATGGACATGATAGATTGGATTCCATCAACCGATAATATTAGCGATCATGAAACCAATATGAACCAAATGGGTTGGGCTCCATCAACAGAAAACATTAGTCTTCCTGAAACCAATATGAACCAGATGGATTGGATTCCTACTATAGAAAAATATGTTCTTCCTCAAACTGATATGAACATAAATGTTCCTGAAACCAATACAACCCATATGGGTTGGGTTTCTTCAGGAGAAGGTTATGTTGCTTCAGAAAATATGATTCCTTCTGAAATCAGTAACCAGATGGGTAGGGTTTCTTCTGGAGAAAATCATGTTCTTCCTCAAGATATCATTTCCAGTGTCAGTTTTGCTTCTGGTCAGACAAGTTATGAAAACCCTTCTCAAACCAATACGACCACCATTCTCGAAACCAATACAGACCAGATGGATTGGTTGTTTTCTGAAGAAAGTTTTCTTCTTCTTGAAGATATGCCTTCTTTTGAAACCAATACAACTCAATCCCTTGAAATTAATATGGAAGATATGGGTTTGGTTCCTTATATGGAAGATAATGATGTTCCGATCGAAGAGCTGATTTCTTTTGACATTGATGTCAATGAGATGGATATTGACTATTGGTTGGGAAATTATGGCTCTTCTGAGGAAAATATTCCTTTGTCGACGAGGTATACTAGACATGACTCTGCCTTTAATACCCTGATGGATTCAACCCCTCACACCACGATGGAAGACCATGATCAATCACTTGCTATGAATCTAAAGTCATCAAGTCAGCAACATAATATGATGGAGCCCTGCGGATATCAGAATATGGGAGCCGAAAATCCAAGAGAGGCTATGGAGGGAGGAGTTCATTTTGATGATGATCCTGAGGACATGAGTTGGATCGATGAGATGATAAACGATAATGCATGACATATATATGTGTGTATATGTATATGTGTTTGTGTTTTCTTGTTGGTAAATGAGAGAAAAAAAAGTATGAGGAAAAACGAGGAGTGTCTATTTATTTAGTGTCGTTTTTCAGTGTTTTTTTCAGTGTTTTTTTTCTTTAATAATGCAAATGTATGTCATATTGGAGATCCCAAAAGGTTTTTCGGATTTTTGTTTGTATCATGTGGTTTGAGATTTTCTTTATGTTTTATCTTATTTTGGATCAAAAGTTTACATATTATACAAAAAAAAAATACTTTTGATTTGACCAAAATAAATCTTTCCATTAAATTCATCTGTATTAAAACCTATGACCAAGTAAAAAATGCTCTAATGTAAATTTGATATAAAATAATTATTTGTAATATTAGTTTTGGATCAGCAGTATAATGTTACATTATCTGGACTAGAAATATCAAACTCTTATTTTATAGAGTTTAAATATCATATATATATATATATATAATTTATGTTTTTAAAAAATATTTTAATATTTTGTATATAGTTTTAAAAAAAAAATGTTAGAGGTTTATGTAGCATCTCCACGTTTTTTGAGATATAATAATAACAAAATGTCTTTTACACTTTAACCTATCATTTATATCATGCAAAAATAGAGATGAAAATTTTCACCTGAATAATTCTGGAATCATATCTGAATTTTCTTTCACAGAATTTTATTCCGAGTTAAAGTTTAAATATTTTTGTAAACTTCGACCATCAACTTCTATATACTTCCATACTATCTCTTGGTATGTAATCTTAAAAAATGCATTAAATATAATTTTTATCATTTTGTTGGTGGTATATATATATATATATTTTTTCTTGGTGGTGTGTGAGAGGTAGGAAAAAAGAAAAAAAAAACAATTTTTCCCTCCTCTCATTCACTACCAAGAAAACATATATATTTTATACATACATATACAATAATGTTGGCAGTTCTAAAAGTTATTCAGATCGTTGATTAATGTACCATGCGCTTGAGAATTTAATTTATATTTGAAAAGTACCACTAGTATATATTTAACATTTTTGGCTCATTACTTTACATATTAAAATAAGTCAAATGCTTTTAGTTTGACCAAATTTAATATTTTTATTGAATTCAACTCTAGTAAAACCTATGATCAAATAATAAATGCTCTAATATCTTATATATAAAAGACAATCAACTCTCTCCAGCTGAATGACACATCAGCAATGGAGATATTGACATCTGTCAATTTAAAATATTAATAAATAAATAATTAAATAAATTTAAAGCAAATACATTAAAGAACATATAAATAAACATATATATATATATATATTACAATGAATTCAAATTGATTTTCAATATACAAAATTTATAAACATTATATAATACAAAACTTTTTAAATGCACCATTCTATTTTCTTTTTTAAGCGATTTAAACTTCATTTTCAAATTAAAAATATAATTGAAATTTTAATGCAAAAAATAATAAAACTTAATAAGTTTGAAGTTTAAAATAATCTTTTATAAAACTCCAACTAATAAAATTAGAAAACACAAAGAATATTAAACACAAAGAATATTAAACAAATGATTAAAAAGTTATTAAAAATAATAGTAAAAAGAAGGGCGTCTACATAAAAATATCATACATGTTTTTTTAAATTAAAAAAAGTTGGAATCAATAATATAGATAACCAAAAAATTCAAAATATAAAATTAAGAAAGTTAACAAATATTATATTAGTAAGATTTACAAAAATAAAATATATGAGAATCGAATAACAAATAAATATTTATCTCTGATATTCAACGTATATTTTTAAGTGAACGATTACGTTTTTATACAAAAATTAAAATAGTAGCTTTTTAATTTCTTATTATCTTGTAAGAAAAATTATACTACTTAGCACAATTAGGTGTAAAAAAGATTACAAATAATATATCATCAAGAAAAAAACGAAGAAAATATAATATTTTAAACACAAACGTTGATTATAAACATAAAATTCAATACAAATTATAAAAATATATTATTTAAAATATAAATTAAAACAAGATCTGCGCATATATGCGCGGGTTCTCTCCTAGTTGATCATAAATTTAGCATAAACTAAAAATAAAATACATTATAAAACTAGTGATCTTAAAATTAATATTTAATCTCAAAGTAGACTAACAAATTTATAAAAACTTGAGTATTTGGTAAATTTTAAATATCATATATATATTAAATATTATAATATTGTAATATATATATATATCAAACGACCCTTAATAATTATATTATTGATAAAGTATATATTTTATTTCCTTTTAGGTTTTCCCATAAATATCAAATGTTGAATAAAAATTTCTACAAAAGTGTTAAAATAAGTACATTGGATTAATGGTAAATATATGAGAGGTAGACAGTCTTGGTCAATGCCGGGACCATAAATATTTTAGTGCACAATATTGATATCATTTATTTTAAATAATTAGTTTTTCTTCCATGATATAATTATATTATTTTTATAAAAAAATTTTCATTAAGAATGGCAAAACCAAAAATATGAGCTTAACACATATAAAATGTAGATTAGTCTAATATAATTACTAAAATATGATAATATCATTTCATTTACTATGCAAATTCCTCTCTGGTTATAAATTGTATATCTAACTTAATAATATTAGAAAGTGTATATATGTATATATATATCTAAGAGGTTAGCCACTATTTCTTATAGCAATAATACTAATACATTAAATTATATACCTTTACATATACAAAGAAAACATATTATATATCAATGTAAAGTCCAAAAATATATAACTAATGCATTTTAAATTGTTATTCTTACAAAATGTTGAGAGTATAGTAGTAAGACAAGAAATGTTTTAAGAAATATTATTTATCAAGTTGAGAAATGGATAGGATCCACCTGATAAATCTCGATGTGGAAATTTTTTTTAGTAAAAACCTAAAGATTAGATATTGTAAAATATAAAAATAAGGAAGACAGAACGTAAACTCAAATGTGACAGTACTTATACTATTTAAAGGGAAGATAAGATTGATCATTGCACATTCTTTTTTCTTACTATAATTTTTTATATTATTAGACTTTTACATAAGAACCTTTTCACTTAGATATATTAAGTTGGATACTGTTAGTTTATGTATTTTAAGAGGTTTGAAAATTCAACTAAAATTATGTATCATTAGATAACTAATTTTAAAATTCTTATCAAAATTTTATAGTATTCATTTTAATGATTTTAATCAATTTCAATCAAATTCATATGCTATTCAAAATATCACGACAAGAATTTAATTTACAACATTCTCATATGAACATTTATTTTGAAAACAAAAAACTTGATATCTAGATACCACATTATAACAACAAATTATATTGGACATCATATATATCTTCATAAAACAAATCTACTGTTTTCATAGAGATGGTTCTCGTTCTATATACGTTTTATTTCACATTTTTCGATAAAATTAAAGAAGAAAATTGAAGATGTTATCCGTTAGAGATTGTGTGTAGTTAGTATCTTTTCTGAAGTTTCTAGACTATGTTATTCTCCATACGAATTCTTATATCATTTCTTGCAAATTACAAATGCATATGTTCACAAAACTGTGTACCTCTATTATCTCATATATTTTACAGTCTTGACCTAGATTACATCATTATATTTCGTTGCTGGTTTTTGGAAAGTATATACATTTATGATAACAAAGCATCTCTTACACTTTATCCTATATGCACATCATGTGAAAATAGTGATGAAATTAAATATTTCTACAACAACAGTCCTGAAGAATTTTGGAATTATAATCCGATAAAAAAAATTTACAGATTTCCTAATCTGAAATATATATTTTTTTTTACAGAGTTTCTAATCTACAAAATCTATTCATGATCTTATTAAATCGAGAGAAGATTATGGATAGCTTTAATCTACAAAAATATATTCATGATCTCAATAATCTGGTCTTATTGTACATGGTCTTACCATCAATGAGTGTGTCGAGGGATGCCTTACTCCATTTGAGCTGAGTTGTGAAAACGTTTAGCTTCCCACCGCTAAACATTTTTTTTTTTGTAACAAGGATTCCCACCGCTAAACATTACGTGCAAAATTCTCAAAGATGCTAAATTATAACATCATCAAACACTATGTGAGCATTATATACTTTTGGAAACACTAAACTTGAACCATCAAATTGTTTACTACTTTTTTATAAAATATTATCAGTTGGAATTATTCTAGTATCGTGATAAGGATAATTGGTTATTATTTATGAAAAAAAAATAGAATGGATGTTATAATATATATTTTGGGTTAGAATGCTCCCAATATCATGTTAGAAATTAGTATAATCAATTACGGGAAAAACTTATCAAAATTTATGTAGAATGACGCATCGATATTTTTGACTTTTGTAAGCATTACACATCCACATATCTGTTTTTGTTTTCAGCATCGCATATCATTATCATCATTTTCTCTCTTATGGATTTTTAAATAATACTCTTTCCATTTCGCAAAAAGATTATCAGTTTAATACATTTCACACAAGACAAAACATAAGTCGTTGCACATTATTTTCTCTTGTAGTAGTTCGATAGTATTATGTTGTTTTTTAGATAGAGAATTTTGAAGGAGAATTTCTTAAGTGAAAGTATGGATTTTAATTAATTTGAAAATCCACCTAAAATTACAGGCTATTGTATACTTGAAGTTTCCCTATCATCATACTATGTTATATATATTATTTTTTTCGTCGACAACTACATGTTATATATTCATTGTATATTTTCAAAAATCAAGAGTTATTCATTGCTTGAAAAAATAAGACGACCTTTAACAAAATGACAGTTCAAAGGAAAATGTTGTGGATAATTTCTTTTTCATGATTTGCTATTTTTATATTCTCACATAATAGATTAATATTACACATGAAAATTATATATCAAATCATAATCAAACTCGGATCCGGGTAGTTTTAAATCAAATTACCTACTCTCGACGCAATTTTATTATATCAAAATACCTACATTCAAATTCAAAAACTGCATGTACCACATTTTAATTTCAAAACAAATCATATGGGATCTGGAATATTTTGCCTACATCAATCGTTTTCTCTCCCATCAATTATCAACTAATAATATAAGAAACTTCTTTCTACCCGCCAAATTTTGATTTGGCCTAACTCAAGCGAGAATCTCGTAAGCTCTAAAAGTAACACTACCCCAAAAAAACGAAAAACAGAAAACAAAATTATTGAGGAAAATAATGAGCAACGAGTCTTGGAAACCTATATCAAATGGGCCTGTATTCGCTTGGGCTAAATTTAATGTGTACCAATATTGTGACATTATATATATATATATATATATTCGGTGGGAAATATAATTAGCGGTGGTATTGGCGACCGAGATTCGCCGGTAAAAAGACAAGCGGTGGAGCCGACAGAGTTAAAACGATCTGCAAAATATATATTTTTTTCTTCGTGTTGCTTTTCTTTTTAATCGATCATTATACTACAAACCCAAGATTAATAACAACAAATGGAGTCTTTTGATGGTTACTTATCTCTCCTAAAATTACATGGTAACCACATTAAAAAGAGAAAAAAAAAAAAAAAGAAGCAAACAATGATGGAGACACTTTGACATTTAAGTCCAAATATTAGTGTTAAGAAAATATCGTCGTATTGAGACACTTTAACGTCATTTCTCTTCACTTCTTGACCAAAAAAGCTTCTTAAGAAAAAGACAAAAGAGTAAAGACAGAAGAAAAGAAGAGAACTTGAGACCGAAATCAATGGCGGTTTCCGTTTCCATCCTCGCCGTCGTCATTTCCCTTCACCTCCTTGCTTTCGTCTTCGCCTTCGGCGCCGAGCGTCGCCGTAGCACCGTACTGCTCTCTCTTCTCTCTCTCTCTTTCTATTTTTGTTTGGTTACTTTCGATTTATCTTTTTTTTTTTTTTTTTTTTGAAGGCTGTGGCGATGCCGGACATGTACGATGAGAAGACCTTCTGCAAATACGGAACAGAGGCGGCGACGGTGTACGGTATGTCGGCGTTTGGGTTGCTGCTTGTGAGCCAGACGGTGGTTAACGGCGTTACGAAGTGTCTTTGCTTTGGGAAGGGTCTCGTTACTGGTACTTCTTACACAGTCTGGGCTATTGTCTTCTTCGTCGTCTCTTGGTAAGATTTAAACCCTTTCCTGGTGTTGAATTTAAGTAGATTCAGTCTTTATTTAGCAACCAAGATTTGAAATTGGGTGAAATAGAAATGAGAATTTGTGGTTTAAATTAAATTCCTGTTTAGGGCTTTTCAAGTTTGATTTTCCATTTCAAGTTATGAAGATAGCTTAAAGAATAGAAACTTGAACTGATTTTTCTTCTTTGTTTGAATCTGAGCTAAGAAAAAATTTGTGATTTTGATTGTTTATTTATGGGTTTTCAACTTCGAACCAAAAAGGAATGCTTTTTTCCCCTTGATTCCACAGCTTGTTTGGATAAAGGTATTGTGAACTTGGAGTAAGCATTTCCAGAAGGTATTTAAGTTTTGTGATGTGATTGTTCAGTGATCATGATTTAAAAGTCACAGCTTTTATGTCCTAAACTCTTATTCTTGAGTTGTTAATATCTCGAACTGGCTTGTCATCTAAAACAACTATTGATTATTTGATGACACAATTTTGATCTAACAAAACTATGTTGCTTCTATAAGAAACGCCTTACAACACTTATGACTATTGACTAGTTAGTTAGTTCATGTCTATGTTTGAATAGTTTTGTCTTAATTGTTGTGGAAGTTGTGTTTATTAACAGAATCCTTGTGGATGGAAAAACTACTTCAGGGTAAGTTTTCTAGGTGCTGAGGCGTGCTTGTTGGCTGGATCAGCTAGGAACGTGTACCACACAAAAAGTCAAGGCATCTACAAAGAAAAGGAGCTTTCTTGTGCCGTATTACCCGTTGGGGTCTTTGCTGCTGGAGCTGCTCTGACTCTAATGTCTTTGATTTCAACCATTCTTTACTACTTGGCTCATTCTAAGGCTGACACTGGTGGATGGGAGAAGCATCAGAACGATGGCATCGGCATGACTAGTCCTGAAGATGCTCCAAAGCAACAGAACACCGAGTTCAACAAGGTATAACACACTTCTGTTTGGTCTTATGATGGCTATGGTTTTTAAAGACAGGGTCTATAAACTATAAACTGTTGTTTGATATAATTGTTCATATAAACTTTGTAATTCTCTGATGTAATGTTGGCTTATTTATGTGCGTCTATGAGAGAAATTTGGTTTGTCTCATCATTATCAGCTTCCCATTTGACCTCAACTAAGGAATAGGGATGTTAACAATCAGGGCTCATTTACAGGCTGAATTAATCCGATAGGCCCATTTTTAGGCCCAAAACTAACATTCCTAGCCTCAACGAATATACTTGCATGAGAAAGGGTTTACAAAGACCTAAGATCAAAATGTTGATAACTTTTTGGAATACATTTTCGATCATCAGTACAAGTAATGAAGGATTCTCCAGAAGATATAAAAATGTTTACTCATATTATAACTTTATAATAAATAGGTGAGTTTTGCAACATGCTAAAGCCATTCCTTTCCCTTTTCTCAAATCGCTTTCTTCTTTATGAATCCAAGAACAAAAAGAAAAACTATATATACCGTGAATCATAGAGTTTTAGCTAACAAAAAGGCTACAGTTGTATTTATAAAACCATTAAACCAAAACAATCATGGCGATTCACGGATACGAAATGGATGAACATAGAGCTTCTTCATCGAGAAGACGAAGATCTATATATCACAATCTAGGAGGAGGACACTGTAACATATATCTTCCTTTATCTATTTATATTCATTTTTCTTCTTTAGTCTTCTAATCTGAAGAATATCTGTTTTGAAATCTTGCTAGTTGCTGATTTAATGTTCTGGAAGAACAAGAAAGAATCAGGAACAATCTTGGCGGTATTCACATTGATATGGTTCTTATTCGAAGTAGTTGAATATCCTTTCATCACTTTCCTCTGCCAAACCCTCTTAATCTGCATATTCATCTTCCTCATTTGGTCTTACATTGGCTCTTCACAACTAATCCAGCGGTAAAAACCATAACACTATATTGCCTCTTTCTTTTTATGAAAGTTTAACACTCAAAGAACACACCATTTCGTGAAGGAAACCACCGAGTATCAATGATCTAAGGATCTCGGAATCGACTTGGAGAATCCTCTTTGCCAAGATCAACTGGTTCATCATCAAATTGTATGATATTTCGAGTGGCAAAGACTTCAAACTCCTGTTTTTGGTAACAATCAATATATATACACCTTAGTTTTAGGAATTATTCTATTTCATCTAGAGATTGTTTGTATTGAAAACTTGTTGTGTCTCATTATGTTTCAGGCTGTTGTTGCACTATGGATATTATCAGTGGTCGGAAACTATTTCAGCTCTCTAACTCTGTTATACATCGGTGAGTCTTTATGAACATACTATAGTCAAGATTTGAATAATTTTGACAAATAGTGTGTGATTTTTTTTTATAAAAAAAATATACAAATTGTGTGATATATCAATTTATCATGTAGAATAACATGTCATCGGATAAAAACGTGAGCATAGTTCATGCCTTTTTTTTCAAAACAACACGAGATTAATCCGTTGTTTTTGCATATGATCATTTACTGTACTTACTAGTTTATCTAACACACTCTACATTTGAGGACTTGATTGATAACATGTAGCGGTTAAGAGATAAACATTTACTAAGGTGTTTTTTTATACAAAGATTTTTGGTTAAAGCCTTTATTTAAAAAATTTTAATTTGTGTGATTTTTTGGTGAAGTATTTGTGGGTCTGGAGACGATACCAATGTTGTATGAGCAATACGAAGAAGAGCTAAATTATGCAGCAAGTAAAAGCGGGAGGGACATGAAGAAGCTCTTTAAGAACATCAACTCTAAAGTCATTAACAAAATCCCTAAAGCCAATGCTAAAACTAGGAAGCATATGTAAAATTATGTATATCAAGCTTCTGGATCTGCACATGCTTCATATTAAAGTAATAGGTCTTTGTTCATGTAATCATAAATGCTCATCAGGAGTTCAAGATTCAATGGGTATACAATAATTATATTTCGTTGTAACTAAAAACAGTTGTTGATATGAGAAAAGCTTTAATATTTATACTTATTTATGTAGGATCAGGATGACCTTTTTAATAAGTTTATTATATGGCTTAATGCTAGTACCTTCTTACCCAAGAAACTAAAGTGGAGGATATTTAGCTGTAATCGTTTTTTTTTCTTTTTGCATTTTCTCTCTCTTTGTTCTCTCACTTTTGTGTACTTTAGTTTTGATCTCTAATTCTGTTTTGAATACTCAAAACTCACTCCATAGAAATATCATAATCTTACAAAAATGATGATCGAACAAAAAAATAATAAACATGTTTGCTTGTATCTATTTGATATTTTAATTGATGTTAATTTTTTGTGATCAAAATTAATTAATGTTTATATATCTCTGATTTTCCGTTACAAAGAAAAAACGCAAATACTATATTTGGCTTCTTCAAGGTCGCAAAATATTGCTTCACAATTGATCAACTCTTGATATTTTCAGAATAATGACAAAGCACTCCTCGATGCTTATCCATTTGCCTTGTCTCGATTCTAAAATATTTTAAAATACTTAATTTTTATGTATGTTAGTTTGAGCAACCAATATTCAATTCGAAAACCAAGTGGTGAAATAGTAGTTTCTATCAACTTTGTTTTGTTGATGATTAATTCTTTTCGAATGCAGAGTTATCGAATTAGTAATTACTCTCATTTGATCAGCTAAAATAGTATTAGAAAATTTAGTGAATAGTGTTAACGACTACACTTGAATGATTAGTCTGATAATAAAATTTTGAATTATCTTCTAGTTATCAAAGGATATATATTTAACTTGAAATTTACGTTTATCTATGCTCTCTCTTGTTTTTTTTTTCTTCGGTAAACCAAGTTTATTGAGACAATTCTTATTTTTGTTGGTTCTCACTTCTCAGTAACTATTAAAAATTGGGTGAAGTCAGCATAAAATGGTAAGTAAGACAATGACCATCAATTCAAAATTTCAAATAAACCAATAAAATAACCATTTGAGACAATGTTCAAATACATTCCTTCCTACTCTCTGTTAAAAGTAATAAAGTAACCATTAAATCAATTACTCTATCTATTTGCCAAAAATAAGAAAGAACAAAAAAAAACAAATACTCTATATGTTGTTCTATCTAGAGTCTTGAGTTATGAGTTATGACTATGAGCCAAATCTAAGGTCCTCGAACTGTAGGAGTAGAGCACATCTACTTCATTCAAATCAATTTTATGAGTTCTTATCAGTGGTCCCTAAAAGTAAGTATTACCATTCATACACCAAAATAGCCATCTCTAATATGTTATGTCACTAATGGTGTTATTGTATATTAAAAAAAAAAATTTTGTTCTACTTTTTGGCCATTAGTTCATAAAGTCACTCTTAAAGAATTGGGTTTAGATAACAATAAGAATTTTGTATTTTTTGTTGTTGTTGTTAACAGTCAGACAATTCAGTGGTGAGATATGACGAATGGCCACACACACAAGATTAGTAAACTAGTTTGACCCTAGAGTTGAACCAAAGGGCAGGGTAAAAGAAAAGAAAGAGTCGTCGCACCTTTGGTGACTTCTGACTCAAAAAACCAAAACCACACATTTCAAAAGATATGCCAATTTCTCTCACCCTTTTTATCAACTAGTCAACTATTGTCAGTGCAATGCATACAAAAAAACTTCTTCAATGGTGAGAGGAGAACTTGCGGTGGCAAGTAACGCCGGAGGATCTGAAGGCGCCGTTATCTTACTCTACATTTGGGCAGCTCTTGTGGCTATCTCCGTCATAGTCGCCGTGACTTTCTCCTGTAGCGACGGTGCTTCTAAATCTGATACTAACAACGTCCATGCCTCCGCGTGCGCCGCAGGCTGTGGTGGAGGTTGTGGAGGTTAAACGGTTGGCAATTTTTTTTTTTTTTTGGTCCACGTATTGCAACATTTTTAACGTTTTTCTCAAAAAAGCATGCATTTTATCGGGTTTGAACCGGGTGGTGACACAGCTAGTAGTACAAACGAGGAGGTTATTGTCGTTTAACGGGTCTTATAGAGGCAGTTTTGTGTTTAGAATAAAGGAATTTAACTACAAATCATATGTGGTTTCTTGAATTAATATGGAGTTAAAAAGCGTGTACTGATGATAATGTGAAGGCTCCAAATATTATCCTATATTACTCCATAAAATTCAAGGTAAAAATAAAAATGGAAAACGTGATTGTAGAATATATTTGTTTTGTTTATTAAAATTTGCATACGGCACAGAGAAAGGTTGAGCAAAACAGAACAAAACAGAGGAAGTAAGTGTTGTCACAAACTACATATATCTAATTTTACAAGAACAGTCTCTTGTAGAAAAAAGAAACGAATCCAAAGCCGCAGGGTCTTAAGAAGCTACGAAGATAAGAGCTTATTGAGTTAGATCAGGCGGCGCCTTGTCATGTGTCTGTGATGTAAACTGATAACAGAAATCAGAATGTATGTGCTGAATAAGATAAGGTTATATTGAAGTGGGAATTGGATCCAAACCTGACGAAATAGCGGGTTAAAGGGAATGTTTTGGTGAGGCATCATTGGGATTCCTGGCGCATAATAGCACCAAGGAGTAGTGTATGGAGGAGCCATACATGGTGCTTGAGCTGCATAAAATGGTGACATGTAACCCGCAGACTCTGTGTATGCCTTGGACATAATCTGGACCACATAACACATACGGCTTCATTAATTCGTATTGTAAATGGCTATTGCTGTTTTGGGAATGTACGTTTGTGAGTTATAGACGAGAACAAACAAATACAAAAAATATACCAAGAGCCAGTAGCTCAATTGGTAAAGATTCAAGAGGTTGCAGGTTCAAATTGTTTTTGGGACAAAACTAATATTACAGTGGTTTCGGGGTTAGGGTGATAATCAAAAAAAAAAAAAAAAAAAAAAAAGATAGCTTACATCTCTCTGATGTTTCAAACTTTTCATGTATTCTACGATGCCTTCAAGCTTGGTTGCAAGGTCCGACTATATATATATATACGCACAAAAGAAGAAGCGTTAAAAACTTGATATTGTATTCAACTCTACTATATAAATATGAAATAAACCTTTGCGCAATAAGGCGTCATCGCCTGCAATATATCTACTTTATCTCTTATAAGCTGCCGTCTTTTCTGCAGAGTTAAGAAAAACAAATCAAGAAAAATAAACATTGACTTAGCTTGGGAAGCACGCAAGAATAGAAGGAAAAAGATCCCTAACCTTCTCCATCATCACACGATACTCCATGGAACGGTATCGTTTAGTCGCACGGTTACTCTTGTTGCAATGATCCCTTTTGTCTCTCTGATCAATGTTCTTGGTGACATCATCCTTAGGCTCAGAAGAGTGGGAACGGAAGATCTCTTGCAAAGGGTTTAATTCATTTTGATCTTCTGAAGATAACGAAGAAATTAGGTGAGACAATGAACATATCTCTTTTTGAGAAATATCCTCCTTACTGTTGTTTATCTCCATTAACTAAATTGATGCTCAACTAATATTGAGATTTTTTGAGTTTGTGAAACTAGAGAGACTCAATAGGAAAACTAATGGAGCCCAAAACTATAAATAGGGGGAGAGAGGTATATATAAGAAGCTGCTTTTGAAAGTCGCATCAATTGAGCGGGAAGAGAACACATGATTTTGCTTCGTCCCACGGTTTCCTTAACATTAAACTGTTTTTTTTTTTTTTTGTTAAAGGGCCTCTCTTTATTATATTTTATATATATTTTCTGGTATTTTATATCAAAACATACAGAAGAAAACATATATTTGTTGTTTTTTGTTGCCTATGGGTTCTCACTCTTTCTTGGAATTCTAAGCACCAATTTGAAGACAACAGAGAAACAAGTAGTGTCATCCTCGTTCTTAAACGGCTGTCCATATTTAGATAATGAATTTTTTTTATTATTCGGTATATTAATTTCCAACAGACAATTTTTATTTATTATTGGGGATATTAATTTAGTTATTGGGAATATTAATTTAGTTATTGGGGATATTAATTTTTGTTCGAAAAAATTAATTCGGAATCATGGACCTTATATTCGAAGTAAATTCACAATGATATAGCTTTTTAGCTAGTGAACTTGATGAATACTGTATAGGGCATATAGTTTCATTTAAATATACTTTGAACCGATTTGAAAACTAAACTTAACAAACAAACAAAAACGATATAAATACTAAGAGGATAATGTTGCTAAAAATAACAAGGTTAACGGCATATAAAACCAAACAAACTTTCGGCCTCCAAAACTAGAAACGTGTTCATATTTCTACATTTCTCGGACTTGTTTCATTTCTGTTTTGCTTTATTATACACTCTTGACTCTAGTGTAGCTTCATTAATATAATGTTTAAACTTCCGACATTTACAATTTTGGCCGTTTACATCTGATAAAACGCCAAAACATGTTCACGTACAAATAGATATGAAGAGTGACGTAATATATGCCTTTGGTGTAGTTAAACTAAAAAAAGAAAGGATGTCCCGGATGTCTCATATTTACCCTCCCTAGAGGCGGCAAGACTTGTCTTGTCCAGGCTTTCTGAATCTCCACAAGCATTTTCAAGATTTATCAGTAGCTAAGAAACAAAAAAAAAAATATATCATCTAAATATCCAACGGAGGAGAGAGTGATTGGTACAATAAAAAGAACAAATGTTCTCTGCATTCCAAATCCGAGTTGCATTAAAGACAGCAGCTAGGCACAAGAGTTTTATGTAAAGTACCTCGACACTTAAATCTGCATAACTTCAACTTTTGGTTTCATGACTGCTAAGCTTAGCTTCCTGTAAATATACATATGTGTGTATTTAAGGATTTATACGTGCAGCAAGTACAATTTCCACTTGTCTTTGGCCCTGTACAAATAAATTGATGCCATAATAACATCCACAATGCTTCTCAAAATGCATGGAAATCAATACTTAACTTTACCTACGACTTCCCTCGCCTTGTTATAGTGATCAGTTTCCTGAAAAGTCAACAAAACTTAATTTCAGACACTGATCAAGCAAAATGGCGACCTAAAAAACGGCTTGCGTCCAAAATTAAACAATTACACTTGATACCAAACAATGAGAAACCAAACATGTCCACCAAAATTAAAAGATGGAATCTTTTGATCGACCAACTTAGCATTCTTTTTTTTGACGGGAAATATCAGGCCGCTTCTCCTGTTTAAGTACCTAGAAAGAAGATGAACACACAAACAAGAGAACAGAGCTCAATAAGACCAAGTCAAAGAAATAAGTATCCTGATAGATTTAAAAAAGCTGCAAGATATCGGAACATGTTACCTTTAGGTAATTAGATAGGAATTCGCTGTGAAATTTGGATAGAGATGCTGGTGACCAGCTTTTAGGGTTCCGACAAGATGGCTCCTTTGTTTGGCTTTAGCTTGCCAATAGATATAACTGATTGTATTTTTTTTTACAAAACAAAAAAACTGAACTCCAAGCACACTGCAATTAGAAGAATTTAAATATCACAAATAAAAGATATTCATAAAACCTAAAAATAACTTATATCCCGCAATGTGATTCATTCTGCATATGATATAAAAAATATTTAAACAAAGACAGAAGCAGAATATAAGACCTCGCCATATGAGTGTGATAGAGGACCAAGTTTGAAGAGAGCACCAGACCACTCAATCTTCCCCCAAATGTCGCCTCCCTCTCGTCTCTCCACAGATATCTCGGCAGAGCAAAGCTCCAAACCATCAGGATTTTTAAGCCGTGCGTTCCAGAAGATGACAATGTTCCCACTAGAGTTGCTACCGAGTCTGCTAATTTCAGATTTGACCATCCTTGGTGGACAGTAGAGCCTCGGGCCTGGATTAAAGAGGACATCTCTAGAACCAGAGAAAGATTTTTTCAAATTTTCCAAACCTTTCACCTCTTTCCAATCCAACACATCTGGCTCACACCACAATATGCTTCCATGTGCACCAACGCAGTATAACAATTTCCCTACGGCACACCAATGGGTTCTGGTTCCTGGCTTAGAATCTCTTGTTCCCTTGTTCCAAAACATATATTCACTTGGCACGAAGTAGAAGCTTTGAGCCTTGTCATCCAAGGCGTAAACCTTCTTGTTCTTATTTTTCTTCTTCTTCTTCTTCCTCCTTTTATTGTGAGATGGCACTTCAGTGCTCGGCCATCCCAATTTACACCATCCCAATTTACAACATTCCCGAATCGCACATCTTCCTTTCATTGACAAATTATTCTCCTAGCCTAATTTTCAATTTTCAAGTTTGTGAGGACGGAGAAGCCAGAAACTATATTTATAGAATTTGCTTATTTTTCCCGAACTAATAGGATTAGTGAAAACGTAGTATCTCCTTTTTAATAGGATTAGTAAAAAGGTAATCTCCTTTCTCCAAAACTAATAGGATTGGAATTTCCATTCCTGTTAATTTCTAGATTACTTTGCCGACACGGCATATTTGAATGAATATATTGATACTGATGTATATTTGTCGTCGTTGTGTTTTTTTTTTTTTTTTTAATTAGTCGTCGAACAGTTTACATACATAAGTAACATGGCTGTCTAGGTCCTAGTGTTGACATGCTTGTGGGGATAGTGTACTAAGTGTAGAACTAAAATGTATTAAAACTATAATACCGAGTGATCAAGATGTGGATCACAAGATTCAGTCGTTACCATTTAGATCCTAAGAGCGAATTTTCAAATGTTCTAAAATACGCTACTATAGAATAAAGCATGCTTCGAAGAGAAGACTGATTTAGGTGAGATTACTATTTGTGATGAATGTGGATCAGTTCATAGTTGAATTAGATGTTCTTTTTTTTTAAAAAATTATCCTTTACTTCCCATCTATATACTGTGACAATGTAGGTGCCACGTTCCTCAGTGCCAATCCCGTATTTCACTTATGGATGAAGCACATTGTTCTTGACTACCATTTCGTTCGTGGAACATCCAACAAAATGCTCTTCGAGTTGCTCATGTCCACATCAAAGATCAACTGGTAGATGCATTGACGAAACCACTGTCTCGCTTCATTGAACTAAAAGATAGGATTGGAGTGACTCAATCCCTCCTTCTTAAGGGGGCGTGTTAGAGATATAATTTTGATTCTCATTATTGTCTTAATATTTAACTGCTCTGTTTTAGAAACATTCTGTAAGTAGATTATTTAAGAGCATTCTCTTCTCTTGTATAAATATATATAGTATATATATCTTTGTGTCGTCTATTTGTGAATATAGAAAACACATTCCTTACAGAAAATATGTCCTGCTTCTTTAATTTAATGATCTACTACTGATCTAATTTCTCCAAGAAATTCAAGGGAAAAAAATGGGAAACATGATTGTAGAATATCTTTGCTTTGTTTATTACATCTGCATACACCACAGAGAAGAGCAAAACAGAACAAAACAGAGGAAGTAAGTGTTGTCACAGATTGGGGCATCAAAACTACATACATCTTTGTATATATCTAATTTTACAAGAACAGTCTCCACAAGCAAAAGAAACGAGTCCAAAGCCAGAGGGTCTTAAAAAGCCACAAAGCTAAAAGGTTATTGAGTTTTATCAGGCGGCGCCGTGTCATGTGCCTGTGATGTAAATTGATAGCAGAAAATCAGAACTTATTGAATAAAATAGGGTTAAATTAAAGTAGGAATTGGATCCAAACCTGATGAGATTGCGGGTTAAAGGGAATGTTGTGGTGAGGCATCATTGGGATTCCTGGCACATAATAGCACCAAGGAGTAGTGTATGGAGGAGCCATACATGGTGCTTGAGCTGCATAAAATGGTGATATTGTATTCGACTCTCCTATATATGTATGAAGTATATTAACCTTTTCGGAATAAGGCGTCAAAGCCAGCAACCTATCTACTTTATCTTTAATAATCTGTCGTCTTTTCTGCAGAGTTTAGATAAACAAATCAAGAAAATAAACATATGACCTAGCTTGGGAAGTACGCAAGAAATAGATCCCAAACCTTCTCCATCAACGTACGCTTACTCTTGTTGTAATGATCATCACTTGTGTCTCTCTGATCATCGTTCTCTGAATCCTCAGGCTCAGGAGAGACAAGCGTTGACGAGCTCGAGTGCGCACCGAAGATCTCTTGCAAAGGGTTTAATTCATTTTGATCTTCTGAAGAGAACGTAGAAAGTATGTCAGTTATTTTACTTAGCTCTCCTTCAGTATCCTCCATTAAGTTGATGCTCAGCTAAATTGAGATTTTTGAGTTTGTGAAAGTGGAGTGACTCAAGAGGAAACTGATGGATCCCAAAACTATAAATAGGGGGAGAGATATAAGAAGCTATTTTTGAAAGTCGCATCAATTGAGCGGGAAGAGAAAACATGATTCTTCTTCATCCCTTGGTTTCCGAACAAAGGTTATCCACGTGAAATTACAAATTATATACTTCTTTTATTGTATTATAGGTATATTTTTGTATTTTACTATTTTATACAAAAACATGCAGAAGAAAACATATGTTTGTTGTTTTTTTGTTCCATATGCGTTCTCACTCTTTCTTGGAATTATAAGCACAAATTTGAAGACATTAGAGAAACAAATAGTCTCATCCTTGTTCGTAAACGGCAGTCCTTATTTATATAATGAAACTTTATTGAGTATTCGGAATATTAATTTCTGTTGGAAATTAATTCGGAATCATGGACCTTATATTCGATGTAAATACACAAGGATATATAGCTGTCAGCAAGGGAACTTGGTGAATATATGCCATATTAAAACGATTTGAAAACTAAATTTAACACATAAAATTGATTTGAAATTTAACACATATTAATTAGCAACCTTTTCCTTTAGCTTATTTTTTTTGTCAACAAAAAAAAATTAACCTTTTCCTTTAGCTTATAATTTTTTTTGTTGACAAAAAAAATTAAACTAAAGGAAAAGGTTGCTAATAAAAAAAAAACAAGAATAACCGCATACCAAAATCCTGTATGAATTAAATGTGCCGTGAAATTTTAACAGTTTCAATTAACTAAAATGCGGTAAATAATACTCCCTCCGTTTCACAAAGAGTGTCGTCGTTCTGACACTATTTTTTTGTTTAAAAAAGAATGTCGTTTTAGAATTCCAATGTAATTTTTAATATAAAATATCATTTTTAACTTCAATAAATTCAGAAAATTAATTATAAATATAATTCTAAGAGTCATTTTCTGCAAATTAATAAGGGTATAAAAGACCTTTTATCTTATTTCTTAATTTGTGTGAAGAATGTCAGAATGACACTCTTTATGAAACGGAGAGAGTATGAATTAATAGAGTTAGGATAAGGTTATCGGGTTTGAAAAAAAGAATTAAAAAAAAAAAGAGTTAATAACGTTTTAGATATACTCTCTCCATTTTACAAAGAGTGTCGTTTTGACACTCTTTTTTTGTTTCAAAAAAAATATCGTTTTAGAATTCCAATGTAATTTTTAACATAAAATACCATTTTTAACCTCAATAAATTCAGAAAATTAATTATAAATATAATTCCAATAGTTATTTTCTGCAAATTAATAAGGGTATAAAAGACATTTTATCTTATTTCTTAATTTGTGTAAGAATGTTAGAATGACACTCTTTGTAAAACGAAGGGAGTATGTAGTAGGATACTTTGTGGAGATTTACGATGTTAACTGTTAATTTGTGTGATTAGATGAAAATCACGATTCACGAAAGTCTATATGGTTTTACTCTTCGATCTTCATCTCCAGAACTAGAAACGTCTTCCTAATTCTACATTTCTCGGGATTGTTTCATTTTTTTTTTTGCTTTATAGCCTTTATTATTCATATCTTTTCCTTTTTCCGGATTAATATTGTGTTTCAAGTTCCGACATTTCTTCAATTTTGGCCGTTTACATCTGATAAAACGCGAAAACATTATCACGTAAGGAGTTTTTGTCCGCCTTGTTTTATCTTAATAGTATTCATATTGCTATCAAACGTACAAATAGATATGAGAGTGACGTAATTTCAATGTTCAAATTATTGTTTCAGTGTGATTTCAGAATCCTTTAAGATATGTCTTTGGTGTAGTTAAAATAGGATGTCCCATTTTTACCCTTCCTAGAAGCGGCGTTTCCAAGTCTTGTCCAGATTATCTGAATCTGCACAAGCATTTTCAAGATATAGTAGTAGCTAGGAAACAAAAATAAACACTGTTGATTAATTAAAATACGCTATCCATCTTAATCTAAAATATGAAGAAAAAGATTGTGTTACGTGTTCTTGCTATATAATAATTATATATTTAGTGGTGGATTTCACATCCACATTGTGCATTCCCTCACCGCTCAGCTCGGATATACTTAACTTGTACCTTCTGGCTTCTGCAATCGGAAGTGTCGTTTTGTAAATTTTTCTTATCTAATATATTCGTAAAATGTATATGCAAAGAGGGCTGTATATAGACATCATTATAAGTGAAAATAATTAGTACCATTGATGAATATCTCTTTCTTTGTTGTAAAATCTCTTTCTTTGTTGTAAAAAAAAAAATCATTGATGAATATCTCATCCTAAAAAAAAAATCCAGTTCAGTCTGAATATACACTAAAAAAAACTTTTGGAAACCCGTAAAGGTATTATATGGAAGCTTAAAAAAAGTTTTTTAATTAGACATAGACACGGCCTTGTTACATGAATATATCCATCGACTTCCGTGCCCACTTCAAGACTCATATAGGTATTCCGTATTTTAGCTACCAAAAATAATTCATTGATATATATATATAATATATAGATCTTTGGCTTTTCGAAAAGCTTCGCTATCAGTATCACTACCCAAAATGAAAAGACAGTCGTCTAAGTCCTTTAAATGTGAAAGGACGTTTCTTAAATGCTTGGAGGAATTTGGTATTATATTTACATTTACGTCCATAAAACCAATATAATACCAAGATACATTTAATATGATAAGTAACAATTTAATTCCAATATGCAATATCATTCAATTTAATATCTTAATCATACTTTGTATAAAATTTTAACTTATGAAATCAATAACTAATTTTTTTTATATAAGTACTAAAATTCTTTATAATGTTAAAAAGATTAAATTTATCGACACAACATAAGCTATAAAATGTGTATTTAAAGATTAAATATAAAGTGTTAAAATCTCTAAAAGAATTGAAAATTTATTAAAATTCTCTATAATATTTTAAATATATATATATATATATATTTTATTTTATATTTTAATACATTTTCATATGTATCCGGAACAGTAATCTCAACCTCATAAAACATGTTTCTTAGTGATTAATTTGAATTAAATATGAAGTTGTTTACTAAAATTGAAACCAAAAACTTTGCACTTAAACAACCAACATATATTGTAAATGTTACGGCGAACAATATATAACATTACAACATGAATACTCTGCGATGAACTAACATATATACTAAAACACCACTAGCTCTTAATTAATTACATAGGTTTTGACGATTGCGGCTGATTGTTGAACCCCTGCAAATTATTTAATTTAAAAATCTGAAGTGATTAAAAATAAATCAATATCAACTACAAAAATATAAAGCATGAAGAAGGAAAAAAATGGACCTGAGGAGTAACGGGTACAATTTGTTGAATATTGTGGCCACTAGTTTCTCCTCGGGTATAATTATAATTGAAAGGTGGCGGCATGTAGAAGTTGGGATGGTAAAAAGGGAACCATGGTGCCGGAAAATCCATGTTCATTCCAAGTGGCAACATGGGACCCATACTCTGACTCTGCATCGTTACATTTTGTAGTTTGGTCATGGCATGTTTCGTTGTTTGTGTCTTGTGTCTCATGCAACGTTGAAAACATAACATTCACTTTTTTTTCTTGAACCTTAATGTGAACATAGCATTCACTTATACGTGTAAAATATACACCTATGATCTTCTATTTTGTGCTAAACACATAAAAATATATACAATATACATATGATCAACGAAACCAACGTAAATGAGAAAATAAAGATCAAAATTTAATATTGTTATAATAGTGTATTGTACGAGAAAAATCAATCGAATTGAAATGAGATGTAATTTTTCAATTGTAAATTTATTGAAAACCAAAAAACAAAATATGTATAGAATCATTACATACCAAATTTGGTTATCTTTGAATTAATATTTTTAAATAGAAAATCCGGGATAAACTCTATAGGTATATACATGTCTTTTTATAATAACAAGGTAATGACTGAAATTACTTACTTCTACACAAAGCTTCATCGAGCGTATGTTTTCGACGATACACTCAAGTGTCGAGACCAAGTCTCCCTGCAGATTCATATAGATAATAAAATTAAAAACAGAACAACTGGGACAAGTAACATCAACTCAGTAAAAAAAAAAAAAAAAAAACATCAACTCAATATTGTCTTTTTCATTAGTGTCGGGTTTTAGATTTACATGTTAATTTGTTGTGTTTCAAAAAGAGACAACACCATATTTTAGTTTTATAATTAGAACTTATAATGTAAATTTTAAACGGAAACGAGAAAAGAGCATTTTCTACCTTTTAATATGTAAACTAAACATTTTAGGGTTAACTACTAAGCGCGGATAAAAAAGAAAGAGGGAAAAACAAATGATGTGCACCTTATTTTTGCAATTAAGTGTCAACTGCTTCAGATCCTCAATTGTGTTTCTTATATCGGTGCGTCTTCTCTGCGTTTTGAATATACAAAAAGATTAAACAAATTGTTTTTTCTTGGGAGACAAGCACGCATAATTCAAACAAACAAAGGAATGTACTCACCTTCTCGGCTATATTACGAGCTTCATTACTACGTGGTCTCTTACCAACATTCTTCATAATTTCATCTTTGGCACCATTTTCATTTTCCTTGCATACAATAAGAAACATAAAATAAGACAAAGTTGGTATAAAAAATTATACATATATATAAAAAAACGAACTAGATATATATACCTTCTCTATCTCCTTATTAGATTTCCATCCATCCTCATTAATGTTCTTATTTCCATCTCCAAGAGCGTTCCAATGCTCAGGCCAAACGTCTATAGCCATCGACGTAGGCCTCACCAACATCGGGCTGCTGATCTTAGGAAAAAGATTATCTCTAGGATCGGAATCAGCAAAAGATTGGATAAGTGAGGACCAAAACTGATCATTATGGCTTTCTTGATCGTTGTGCTTGTCCATACTCATGATAGTTTACTAATTAAAGAGTGATGAAGAGATTGTTGGAGTAGGAAGAGGTCTTTATAGGAGGAGATGTTGGAGTAAGGCAACAAGAGCGGGAAAGAATTAAGGATATTATTTATCCATCTTTTGTTTTTTTGGTGTGTGTTAATTTCCTTAATATATTTTTACACTTGCAGTGTTTTCGTAATTTCGTTATAACAAGCTTTCCCTCAGTTATTCACTCTTTAAATTAATACTATACCAATTCGGAAACTATCAATGAAATCGGATCCAAAATTACTTATCAGTTATCACCAAATTATAATGAGAAAAACGTATTTATAAATGATTGTTTAATTTAAAAAGCGATCATCAACGATAGTACAAATTTAAATATTTAATACTTACGTCAAAAAAATATAATATTTAATATTATTTAAGGTATATATAAGGGGAATAGTTTGAAATGAATATTTTCCACTAGTGCGTGAGTGAATTCGGTCGAGCAATATCGAAGAGTGTTGTTGTTATTAAGTAAGGAAGGGTGTTTTGAATCTTACATCCCACATTCACACTTGAAGGACTGTCTTGGTTCTACAATCGAATGCTTGACAAACCAAGATTTTGATTTTTCTTTTTGTGGTTCTTGTTTCTCATACCTTTAATTTGGTTGTCATATATATGGATAAGTATGCTTATGCAAAAAAGGAGATAACAATAGTAATCTAAAATAGTGAATCTTTTCTTAAGATTTTAAATCTAACTTCTGTTTATTGGAGTTTTAAGTAATCATCAACTTCATTTGTTCATGTATTATTCATTTCTTTTAGACGTAATGCAAAGAAAACCATGTTAGACTTATAAATAGAGCTTCTCAAAAATATATACTAAATTGGATAAACTACTCAAAAAATGCTACGAGGATAATAAACATGCATATTTTACTATTTCGATTCTCAGCATCTAAAATTTAGAATTGCTTCACTGAGAAATTCGGATTAGATCTATAAAATAATAATCAATTCTCATAGATATATATGGCGAGAATTTTAAATGATATAGAAAAAGACAAATCAAACAAGAGATGTGTTTTAAGTGAAAAATAATTTTTACCTTACAAAATTATCAGTAAAATATAAAAAATATAGATATTTGATTAAAAAATATAAAAAAAAAACGTAATCCAATATATATGGAGAGTCCTATCAATTGATTTGATCCTAGATATGAGGAGATTTGTTTTTTTTTGTTATCATTTGTTATCATTTAGACGTATTAACAAAAATATTTTACTATATTCCTCATTTTAATTTGAAAACAACCTGATATTTGGTGGTTCTACCATGCTCGATTAAAACTATCATCGAAAGTAATATTTTTTATATCATGCGTTCTTTTTCTTTTACTGATGATGATTTAAGATAAATTTCATATCAAGTTGTTTACTAAATTTGTTTACAAAAAAGCAAAAAAACTTAAGAAAATTTGCTTACTAAGAAAGTTATAAAAAAAACTTACGGAACAGTAAAAACAATTCAGGTATTCTATATTTATATAAAACATTTACATATAGGATACATATTATGCGAAAAAAAATAATTGATATGAAAATATTTAATAAAAAATAATATATCACACATGATCTTTTTCTTCGAACAGTTTACACTAATATTAGAAAAAAACCATTTCAGAAAACTATAAAAACTCAAAATACCTGCTTATTTAAAAATTAAAAATAAAAACAAAATAAAAATAAATATGATTAGCACAAGTTCTCGAAGAAAAATCAAACAAAAATAGGGCTTTGAAGTTCATATATGTTAATATATTATAGATATATAGCTATTTTGAGATATTTTAACCAGTAAAAAACTGGATATCCCTTAAATTTAGGAGAAAAAAGCCAAAAATATATTTAAAAATACGTAATCCAATATATATGGAGAGTCTTGTCACTTGATTTGATCCTAGATATATGGAGAATTATTATATTTGTTTTTATTTTAATTAAAAATTCACAGTTATAGAATCATCGAATCTACTCTTTATCCTCATATTTTTTATAGATATATATATATATATATATTATGTTCCTTATTTTTAGCTGTACAAACTATTAATAATAGTTTGATCATTTATCCTCATATTTTATAGTTAAACAATCTACGAAACTTGAAAACAAACTTACTAAATTGTTTAAGAAAAAAAACAAGTATAAAAAAACAGCTTACGAAACATTCACAAAATTTCATAAAAAAAAAAGAAAAAGTACCGATATAGTTTATATTTATAGATCGAATTCTATATTTTTCCAAACTTGGTTTAGAATTATTATTTTTTTTTTTAAAACATTTTTCCATTACTAACATATTGTTTCATGGTAGTTCATGGTCAAGAAAATTTCAGTAAAACTATTCGAAACGACTATTGAAGGCTTTGAAACCCATGGAGTAACGAGTAAAAATATATTTTAGTTGGTAAAATTGTATGGTCTATATATAATTCTAATATTGGTTTGTGTAGAGACAAATCGCGAATAGTAGCTGAGTTTCGCCTGATGAAACCACAAACCTGAAATGTTTCAAGTTCCAATATTTGTTTCCTATTATTATTTATTCCGCTTGATCATCCAAACACCGAAACACCTAAAGACGACAAATGGTGACACTTTTTTTTTTTCTCGAATTTGGAAGGGTGACGCATTCTAATCCATATGTTTTTTTTTTCTTTTGTTATAGAATCATCGAATCTACTCTTTTGGTTACGACATTTTTATGAAGGTGTCAGTGTTCGACATCTAAAAAAAAAAAGTGCTCGACATCTAAGGTTCTAGATTTAGCCATGAAACATTACGTGTCTTTTATTTTGATAATTTTCTTATAGTTAATAACTTGTATTAAGCTTCAAATCTATGATATATTTTGGAGTATAGGAAACGAACAGGATATAAGATTATGAACTTGCGAGCCTCATGTGTCATAACTCACCGCTCCATTAATTTTAAATAATTTGAATTTAAAAATGTAATGTGTATAAATTCAAGATAAATAAGTAAAATATATTAGATGTATATCTTTATTTTTGTGCTAAATGTAGGCTTTATTTTTGTGAAAAATTATTTTGTTTTCTCATGTGCCGCTTCCTCAGCTGCTTACGCGCAGTTCGTTGGCCTCTAACGGCGGGAGATATCCAAGGTTGCATTTTTTTTTTCGTCAACTACATCCAAAATATAGTTATATTTTCTTTTCATATATATATATAGAGACATATAACAGGCCCATTAACTGGGCTTATGAGGCTCATTAAATACAGTAAAATCATGAGAATATGGGGCAAGATTCAAACGGTGTCGTCTTGGCGTTGGAACTGAACAAATTTAGAGCGTATGTGAGATGGGATGCGAACAGGACGATACTTGTTGTCAAGCCACACAGCTATTCCTTTTGCTTCCAAAACAGGCTGCTTTGTTTATATACACACATATCAAAACATTTCAAATCAGTAAAACAAGTTTTAGAAAAACCAATCAACCAAACACAAAAAGGGCTTAATAAGAAGTTCATTAACCTCTTGATTTGGAAGTTTAAAGATGAAATGATCAAAGTAAATACGCGCAGCAGATGTCCCTGATATCCTCGCCTTCACCACAAACTTGTCTCCGCTCTGCTCAAAGCACATATTGGAGATGATGATATAATGTGACTAAGCAATGTTTTGAGAGAAGAGGAGAAGAGACATTACACGTAAAGGAGCGAGGAACTTCATTGTTAGCTCAGAAATCGCCAAGGCTTCACCAGAACGGGCTACTTCATCACAGTTGATACCGATACTCTCCAGAAACTCGTGTCTACCTTTAGTAGAGAAGATGTGAAAGATGTATATGACTTTAAAAACTTACTAGCAAGATCTTTCAAACTATATATCCACAAAGCGTTCCAACTTCCAACTAATACTCAAAAAAGGAGAAAACTTTGATCATAACATGTCCAGATTCTGTCAAGCTTATATACGATCTGAAACACTTCTTTGACAAGAGAAATGTTCAAACAAATCTGAAACAGAGAAATAGAATTAAACTAACTAACCGTGTTGGCAGTAGTTTGCGTAAACAGCATTGTTCACAACACCAAATTGATCCAATTCATAATCTCGAACTTTGAGCTCAACCTCATGAAACCCACTCATTCTGCCAAAAAATCGAAATTTCGATAAAGTTTTTTCTTTTTGGTATCAGAAAGTAATCTACATTTTACTGAGCAACAATGTGGCTTTAGAATCACAAAAATCCGATCTTTGTAAATCGCTACCAACAGATACACAATTTCGAGAAAATACGCAACCGATTTCACATAAGAAAAGCGAAAATGAAATTGGATTGATGTATGTACCCTTTGCCTCCTTTGAGATCGAGAAATGCGAGACTCTTGATGGGTTTTGCGCTCCGGAGAGGCAGATTAAGCTGTCGCCTCCGTGGATAAGGGAACAACGCCGGAAAAAGAGGTAGATTGTGGTAAGACGCCTTCATCGGCATAGCCGGAGCCGCCGTGCCGGTAACGTGAAGCATTCGACTTTTGTTGAGTGACGATGGGTCAGAATTGTGATGGGTAGGTGTAAAGGTGAGAGCTTTTTTTTAGTTCAGGAAAAAGTGTTTAGGAGAATTTGGTTTCTGTTATCATTAGTTTGAGAAGCTAAACTAATCAATGATAAATCAATGCATCAAAATAATGAAGTTGGTTAACTACATATACCAATAGTGTATATGCTTCTTTTACAGAGCGATGGATTCAAGGCAAACAAAATTAAACTCGAATGTTTTGTTTTCATGAAGAGAACCCACACAACAAAGAAAGAAAACAATTTAGTAAGTAAAAGATGTCAAGATAAATGAATGATATATTTTGCTTTTCAATTAACCTATAAATGGCCTTTAATACACAAAGATCACAACAGATGAAACTGAAGAAAACGAGGATACAAGTATGTAACATTTGTCTCAACTCACAAGTGAACACATTTTGGTTTCACACACGATTCGTTTCCTAAACAGAAAAAGATTCCGTATCTACCAAATCATAACATGCCCATTTCCATCTTTTGACCTTAAAAAGCTTTCACACCAATACACATCTTCGTAGATATATCTCCGGATTTACTTCCTTATACGTATCCATTCTTCATCACCTTATATACAAGAGCCAAATGGAAAACTCTACTATTATCTCCTAAGAAACAAAAGTACATTAACATTTCAAATACTCTTAAATGGCAAACCAGAGAGGGTTACATGTAGTGATGATAATCACTGCTTGGTTTCTTTATGCAGCACCAAAGATCCATGGCTGGGGAATAGAAGGTCATACCATCGTCTGTAAAATCGCTCAGGTCTTTGATTTTCATCTTCTTCTTCTTCAGAATTCGGGTATAAACCAAAATATCTGTAAATAACTAGTTACTAAAGAGAAGAACAGGCTAGGTTGGATGAAACTGCAGCAAAGGCGGTGAAAGAGCTGTTACCTGAATCTGCAGAAGGAGACCTTTCAAGCTTGTGTGATTGGGCTGATCGTGTAAAGTTTAGATACCACTGGTCTTCTCCTCTTCATTACATCAACACTCCTGATGCATGTTCCTACCAATACAATAGTGAGAGCTTTTATTCCATTTATCATCCAAACGTGAAGTGAGAATATTCCAACCATATTTGCTTATTTGGTTCTTTTCGTTTGTGGTTCAAAGGGGACTGCAAGGACGAAGATGGAGTGAAAGGAAGATGCGTTGCAGGAGCAATTTACAATTACACCACACAGCTTCTTACCTACAACACTGCAGCTTCTTCTCAGTCACAATGTATCCCCAAAACTTATCCACACCAGTTCCCTCATCTTCTATCTTCCTCACATGTTCTCTTCTTATCTGTTTCTTCTTTTTATCAGACAACTTAACAGAAGCTCTGCTCTTTCTGTCTCATTTTATGGGTGATATCCATCAGGTATAAATAATTCTATATGGTCGAGGTCACCAGTTTCTTATCTCGGTATGTCTGAATAGCATAGTTGTAAAATTGCAGCCTCTACATGTGGGTTTTGCTTCGGACAAAGGAGGGAACACCATCGAAGTTCATTGGTACAGGAGAAAAGCTAACCTTCACCATGTAAGAAAAGACAAACAAAAACAGAGTTCTCACAAACGCATATATAAATTGAAAATCAGATATCATATTAAAGATTTCTAAAGCTTCAGAATTGATACAGATTTGGGATTCCAACATTATTGAGACCGCTGAAGAAGATCTATACAACTCCGAGGTAGAAGGAATGGTGGATGCAATAAACAGGAATATCACGGTACTTATCAAAGGAAAACATCATTCTTTACCTGTAAAGTACAAGGCGTTTCTGACTCGTTGACATATTTTTAATAAAATGCAGACAGAATGGGCAGATCAAGTCCAGAGATGGGAGATTTGCACAAAGAAGACAGCATGCCCAGACATGTAAGTCAGATATACAAGAGTATAGTACCTTTAAGTAGAAGTGATTGTTCTTCAAGCCAGCAAGAAACCAGATTTAACTTCTACTTGCTTTCTTCTGCAGCTATGCATCTGAAGGAATTCAAGCAGCCTGTGACTGGGCATACAAGGGGGTAACTGAAGGAGACACTCTAGAAGGTAATAATTCACCCAAGACCTATGATTATTCACACAACAGAAAGAAGCTAACAAGAACATAATGTCTTCTTTGCAGATGAATACTTCTATTCACGTCTACCGATAGTGTATCAGCGCTTAGCACAGGGAGGAGTGAGACTAGCAGCTACCCTAAACAGGATTTTTGGTCGAAGCTGAGTTTCTAGCATCTGATTGTTCCAAGCACGAATTTCTGTCTTCGAATCAGATTATAAAACTACACATTGGAACAACGAGACTGCAGTTTGCAAACCCAGAGAAGAGCACGCTAAAGTTCGTTCCTTTATTAAACAAAATAGATTATGTGCACTCACAAAGTTTCTTTAAACAGTAATAAACAAGCAAAGCATTATTATCAAGATGTTTACAACACATATAACAAACAAGCCAGGGTTCTTCTCAAACTCTAGCGATATAAAGGGGTCTTCAAGCCTTTGCCCTCACCACAAGAACTGGGCACTTAGCTTTGTTGACACAGTAATTGCTAACACTTCCAAGGAAAGTCCTGTCCACACAATACAAGAAACACATTATCATCTTCGAAAGCTTAACTCACCCAGAGCTGAAGAATCAAAGTTAAAACACAAACCTTTCAAGTGCCCCTTTACCATTGCTCCCAACTATAAGCAAATCAACACCAAGCTTCTTAACAGCATCACATATCGCTTCTTTAGGATTCCCAATTTCCATCGCCTTTCTTGGGGTAACCTGTTACACAACCAAACCAATATAGTTCAACGCAAAATTTGACCCAATAACAATGCTTTTTCCTTTTTTCTCCAAGCTCTAACACAGAGTCTTCTTGCTATAAAGGAAGACCATTTATCTGACTAAAACTGAGAAGATCGTAAAACAACACAAACCCCACTCTCAGCACAAATTTTGGCCCCTTCCTCAAGCCGATTCAATCCTGCGTTCTTATGATTCTCTTGCATTGAGTTTATCAGCTCCATCGCTACAAAACAGAAGAAAACATATTCAACAAATGAAATCGCCGGAAGTCGATTGCTAAGAGCCTAAGAAAAAAACCCACAAAAAAAAACTAGAAGAAAGTGAAGGAGAAACAGATACTAACGAGCGGCACCATAAGAGGAAGCATAGACGCAGCTGAGATCAAGTGGAGGCTGAGCGGTGAAGAGGATGATATCGGAATCGTCGAGGCTATCCTTGAGATACACCAGCGTCCATTTCAGAGCGTGTTTACTGCAATCACTATCATCAATCGCCACCATCACTTTCTTTTTCCCGCTTTTCTCTTCTGCCATGGTTTCTTCGTGATCGTTCGATGACCAAAAGTGAAGAAATCGAACAAGTAATCGTTTACTTATAAATATCTTCTGAGGAAGAAGACGACGGAGCGTGGAAGCACGTGCTGATGACGTGTTGATCCATAAAAAAGCCCACGAGGCTCTTCTGGAGACTTCAGATACATGGGCCTAATCTAACTTCGAAAACAGGCCCATATTAACTTTTATTTTTGCTTGCATAAGTTCGATAAAAAAAAAAAAGAGATAAACATACCATCATCGTCTTCTTCCTCGCTCCTCTCTCTAATCGGATTTAAGTTTTGCGCCAAAGTGCTTGATCGATTTCAGGTTCCGATTCGTCTACTTCTTTAGGTTTTATTCGCTGACTGTCTCTCTCTGGGGTTTTAGGGTTGCCTTTTCTGTGTTAGCCCGTTAGGGTTTTCGACTCTCAATTGAATAAAATTGTTTTTTTTTCTTTCTCTGTGCGTGTACTAATGGATCGTTTTTTTTATGCTCTGGCAGGGGATAAATGGTTTCTGGGTTAATTAACGAGAACCCAACTGTTTACGAGAAAAAAGAGCGTCGTGTTCGAACTGATTCGAGCAATACCGATGAGCACTCTGCAGAACCAATAGATCAGCTTGAGATTTTTGATATCCTTTTTCAATTGCACTTACACTCTTTCATCAATTCACTTTAAGCGTTACAGAAATTTCTTTGGAATTACTTAATTGCAAGCTTTAGTTGGGAAATTGGGGAAATGGTCTTTCTTTTATTTTCTAGTATAATCGGTAGAAAAGTATTCATCTGTTTGTTGATAGAGAAGGATATTGGATCATTTAGTTCTCCTTAACATTCACACATCATATAAGAGATATCAAAGATCCAGAGCATCCTTATTCTCTGGAAGAGCTCAAAGTACTTACAGAAGACTCAGTTGAATTGGATGATGAGAATAGTTATGTCAGGTAAAAGAACAAAGTTGGGATTAAACCTTTTTTGTGTTTGGCTTTTAGTTTTAACTGAAGCAAATCTTGCTGAGCTCTGCCATTTTTATTTGCAGGGTTACATTCACTCCAACTGTTGAACATTGTAGCATGGCAACCATTATTGGTCTTTGTGTCCGTGTGAAGCTTCTGCGTAGCCTTCCCGCTCGATACAAGGTACAAGCTTTTCAATCTTTTGTTTTCTTAGATTCTCCTGTTCTCAGTTTTCCTGAGTAGTTTTGGGCTGTGTCAAGATGTTCGTCTGAGAGTGGTTTGAACATAATTTGGCACCAACACATATTCTCCTTGTGATATATGGGGCAAAGAAACCTTTTTGGGTTCATTGTTAAGCTAGTGCCAATTGTTTAGATGATTTTTAAGTTGATATAGCTTGAGCCTCTACTATATGTTAAAAACTACACACTAGAATGTTGTAGGTTGTGTCTCAGTTCTTATAAGAGACTTCGTTTTTCAGATTGACATAAGGGTGGCACCTGGTACTCATGCAACAGAGGCTGCACGTAAGTCATATTTTTCGATATACTTGCTATGCGTGTTTGGATTTTGATCGATCGACCTTGTTGCCAATGAAATAGTAGAGTGACTGAGCAAGTTTCAGTTGATTCTCGAAATAGCAAAGTAACAGAAAAACTGCAATTTATGCGCAAAAGAGTATATTTTGTTTGAACTAGTATATGTGCGGTTGTTTCTAGACTTATCGTTTCTTGCTCTGAAAATTGCAGTCAACAAACAACTAAACGACAAAGAACGTGTGGCGGCTGCACTAGAGAATCCAAACCTCGTGGAGATGGTTGATGAGTGTCTGCTTCCATCATTTGAGTGATACTTGATGCTCTCAGGGTACACTGTTATCTATGTGTCTGCTTTGTCTGCAAAGGTTTTGATCGACTAGGATTTAATTTGTGTTCAGTTTCTTGGTTCAATGAGTGAGAATTTATTTTATGGAATACGATATTGATTTGATCCTCTTCTTAGGGCCTATGCTGTCTCAGAAAGGAAACTACGAGAACGAGAGGGATATTTTCTTGATTCGCATTCCTTTTCACTACTGAACTTGTTACACATTTGTTTCATTTCTTTTTATGTTGAATCGCATTCTTTTTCACCAATGAACTTTGTTACACACTTAATTTCTTCCATTTGCTTCGGTCTTAATTAAAACTAACAGTTTGTATATCTTTAGCTCTTTGATTTCCAAAATATGTAGAAGAAATAGTACCGTAACAGGAGTTTCCGAATTTGTATAGCAACTTGGTCTCAAGATCAACCTAAATGCACAATCTGTAATGATCCAATAGAATCTTGCAATCATCTTTTCTCCTAATAAATGTTTTATGGGTGGGTCTGGTGAATGGGATTTTTCATTGGATATGACACTCGTCCTGTAAAATCTTTAGACTTGTAAATCGGCTTCAGTCAAATCATCCTTTACGTTCTCCTCCAAGTGTCACTCTGCTAACTGGAATGAATGCAATTCTCTAGTCTCATCCTTAAATTCATCTTGTGCCGAGTTATAACATAACTTATAAGTTTTACACTTTACCAAATTTTACATTAAAAACTTAAGACGGTGCTTAATGTGCAACGAAAAAACAGTTTTTAAACGACAATTTAAAACGGATAATTCATGTTCAAATTTAAAATTGTGCATGTGTAAGTTGTAATTAACAAATAGCAAACAGGAAAATTAGAATTAAAATTATTTTTGTTACTCTAATTCTGTATATTGATAATGTTTAAAATGGGTGAATTTTATCCTATACATCTATTCTATAATTTCTATTAACACAAATGAGTATGTTGAATGTTGATACTATACTAACAACTTATTAAAAAGTATATACAAAAAAATAATAAAGAGGATACATGTGTCAAAATCGACTTTAGCTTCTTTATTCCTGGTCTTTAGGCTTTATTTACAATTTTTTTGAGTTATCATCTTCAGAAGATTGGTTTAAACAGTGAGTAAGAGGTATTAGCAATACCATAATACATGCACATAGACATTTTTGACTTGTAGGTATAAAGCAACACGACCCTTCCTTATTTTTTTATTTTCAAATTTATTATTTGTTTGATAAAATAGTACTTCCTCTGTTCAGAATTATTTGATGTTTTAGAAGGTTTTTTTTGTTCAGAATTATTTGATGTTTTCACTTTTCAATGCAAAATTTAATGATTTTTTATAGTTTTTGACCTTTTATATTTTGCAGATTGTCTTCTTATTGGCTGAATGATATTTAAATGGATTTTAAATAATATTTTTAGTATAGGGAAAATAAAAATTAAATGAATTCTTAAACTGTATGCAAAAACCTTAAACATCAAATAATTCTGAACAGAGGAAGTATTAAAATATAATATGAGTTTGAAATTTTACTGACAAATGAAAACCTAAGAAGACTCTTTGAATATTCAAAGTTTGAAAGATATATGCTATTCGAAGTCAGGATAATTAGCTGGCTTCTAGAAATTGGAGTAACAAATATTAGCTGTCTTCTAGATTTACAATATATTTACATCAAAGTTACAGTTAAATAATTCTAAAAATATGTGTAAATCCAATATATGTCGTCGATGACATGGTCTTTCCACAATAACAATCTCGAATCGATGGATTAACCTCACAATGATCTTTGATAGGTGAAAGCATTCGGGTGCTTATTCCGAGTTTTGAAGTGTTTCGGTTCAGTTTTTATTTTTATTTTTGAGCTTTGATTTCTTACCAAATTTGTTCTGTTCAAATCTGAATTTAGTTTTTTGGTGGATAATTCTTTGGCACTATTATGTTTTAATTTTTCCAGTAAAGTTAATATATTTAAGAATCTAAACTGTACTTGCTCTTCCAAAATTGTGTTCAATATTATATTCTTTCCACGTGAACATCTCATCATATTTAACTATTTAAGCACGACTTTTTTTTTAATGTCTTAAGTCACGAAATTATATTCCGTTTCAATATCACAAAAAAAATATTATCAAAACTATATCTAATTATTCTAAACAGATTCTTCATAATAATGTTTTTTCAATAAAAAAAATCATATGTAATATATAATTGAAACCAAAACCAGACAAATTATAAAAAAAAGATTTTCTTATATATTCCCTCCATTTCGAAATATAATCGTTTTTGTTTTTTTTACACATACTATAAAAACAATTTAATTTTCTGTTTTACCCTTTATTATTGTATTATATATTATGTTCACACTAATTACTAACCTATATAAATATAGATAAAATGGAAATAATTATCAAAACATTTGTATTTTTTTAAAGAAAAATAAATCTTAAAACGACTTATATTTTAGAACTAAGGAATTATTGTTTTTCCAATTTATAGCAGCTCGAGAAATATGTTTAAATCCACCCGCAAGATTTTAGGTCTATCACTTTTTATTTTCAATACAAGATGTTGAACAAATTTCCAAACTTAATCCTATACTTTAGTATTAATTGGAGAGGGATAAAAGGTATACAACTTTTTATTTTCAGTACACTTTTTTTAGTGTGCTAAGGGATAAAATGTATACAACTTTTAATAATCTTTTAATATGTAGAATGGAGTACTATTTTTATGTGAAACAGAATATGAGTTACACTAGCTAACTGGAATATACAACTATTTAATTAAATATAAAGACGTGTGATTGTTAGTGTTTCATTGGGAAAAAGCAAGCTGATGGCTAAAGTATGAACATTTTCCAAAACCACGAGTCTATAAATTCCCAAGAACCTGTGGATTCACTTTCACTTCTCAAAGCACTAAAAGCCTCTCTATCTCTATTTCTTTCTAAACAGTCATCCATGCATAGCGCTTAGGAGAAACCAAAACAAATAACATTAACTACTTTTAAAAAATATCAAGTAAGGATGGAAAATTCGATGATTAAGAAGAGCTTCAAAGAAGGTGAAGAGTCAGAACTGAGAAGAGGGCCTTGGACTCTGGAGGAAGACACTCTTCTCACTAATTACATTCTCCATAACGGTGAAGGTCGTTGGAATCTCGTAGCCAAATGTGCTGGTAAGTAATTTGTAACGTGATCTTGATGACTTATTAGATTTTCTCGCTTTACTATAATAAATATCCTTATCCTCTTTGATAAAAAAAAAAAAAATGAAAACAGGGCTCAAGAGAACTGGGAAGAGTTGTAGACTGAGATGGCTGAATTACTTGAAACCTGATATCAGACGAGGGAATCTAACTCCTCAAGAACAGCTTTTGATCCTCGAACTCCACTCAAAATGGGGTAATAGGTACCAAGAATTTCACTCTCAATCTCATCATTAGATTTTATTTTATCATTATTACTAGTTACCAAGAAGTTCCGGACCTTTGTCCATAATCGACTAAATATGTGTTTTTGAAGGTGGTCCAAGATTGCACAGTACTTACCAGGAAGAACAGACAACGAGATCAAGAACTATTGGAGAACAAGAGTTCAGAAACAAGCTCGACAGCTCAACATCGAATCTAACAGCGACAAGTTCTTTGACGCTGTTCGTAGTTTTTGGGTCCCTAGATTGATGGAGAAGATGGAGCAAAACTCATCTACTAGTACTTATTGTTGTCCCCAAAACAACAACAACAACAACAACAACTCTCTTCTCCTTCCTTCTCAATCTCAAGACTCCATGAGTACACAAACATACACTGAATACTCAGGTCAAAACTCGGATTTGAGCTACATGGAAGGTTCTACTTCAAATTCCACTTTCATGTCTGATCTCATGACAGTTCCACAATCCATGGATCACAACACCATCGACGGTTCGATGTGTTTCCATGAAGGCGATGGTCAAGAACTAGGCGGATATATTCCTGGCATGGAGGAATATTACATGGGAAATTCATACATATCAACGGAATGCCACGTGGCAGAAGCGTACGAGGATATTGTCACACAAGATCCCATGTGGAACGTGGAGGACATTTGGCAGTTTAGGGAGTAATTAAGTCAGTCAAGAGATGAGAGAGGGTGTGGAGCCATTACCATGGATTAAATTCTTGTAATAGTACTATACTTTAATTTTAATTTATGGTCAAAAGATGTTGGGATAAATACTTATAATGATAGTTTGCTATATATAAGTCTTTGAATTCATGCATGAAATCTTGTAAGTCTATTGTATAAGCTTATTTACTCAGATTGATATCCTATCTGCTCAAAATAAATGTACTAGTTAATCAAGTCAATTAATTTTATACATGACTAGAGCTTGAGGGTAAATAGTAAAGAGTAGTCTCTTGTCTTGAATCTAATCTCACCTCAACAGGTGGAAGAACCCAAAAGCTAGGAGAGGGAGGCTCTATCTAAAGAAATTAAAATGATGGGGCCGGATAGGATATTATTAATTCAAGGACATAACAAAATTGAGGTCTTATAAGTGCAAAGTTGACGATATTACAGGAGTATTTGATTGACAGATAGTATCGTTTTTTGGAATTATGGAAAAAGTAAATCGAAGTACTGATTCTTACAATTCAGAAGAGTTTACAAGAGATCATTACTATAAGATGAATTTTACTTTGCAGGGTTAATCAAGATTAAAAGATTAATGTGCTTGTGGATTCAATACAGGATAATAAAGAAAACGGACCCATTAGTTATTATATTATAATTATTATCCCAAAAGAGCTTCAACCAAAATGATAGAGAAAGGTGGCTTTGGAGAAGTCTTGTTAAAGAGATCGAATTATTGGAGGTCACTTCAGCCTTTTATATGTATATGGAAACTCCACAATGATTTGAACTTGAACCCAAAGGTACCACTAAAAGTTGGAACAAACATTGATGCACTTTTGATAAGTCATAAACGAAAGATCACATGTAACTTTTTCTATAACAAATGTTTATATCTTTCATGTGACATTTTGGAATAATGAAGGGACTCTCCTGCATATAGATTAATTCGTATTTTTAGAAAGAAAAACAATTTAACTCTTACTATCGTTATCGAATCCAGAAGATGCTGTGCGATGAATATAAACTTTAATATAATGTCGGCACGAATGGTTAATATCTAAAACTGGTGAACTAACCTCAAATAGATTTTTTTTAGTAGAGGTTAAACTTTAGAAAAGACATGAGTAAGGTGGACCCAATTTAAACAGAAACATTACTGTATAGGTCAAATGTTCATTTAATTAGGGATATAGGTTCGTTGAACTTAATTTACAAATAAAAAATTCACTAAAATCAATTACATCTGTCTTACAAGTTAATTTTATAATCCTCTATATACACTGAAATTGTTATCCCAACAAATCATATTTTCCCTAATGAAATGATATGATCTGAAAAGTTCATATAGGCGAGAAGGGCTCATAATCTAATGTCATAACATAAGTTTATCAATACTGACACCAACTTTCAGTATGGAAGACTAGAGAGAAGTCAAAAGTCAAGAAAGCTGTTTGAAGGAGACACCAACTTAAGAAACCAGCTGGTCTGGTTCATGAAATTAGACATATTTACAACAAAAGCTATGATCCTCTCTCAAAAGCAAACAGTGTTATTTTGGCACCAAATTTTACAACCACACGCTACACATATTGGTCTCATTTTATTGTTACGGGTTTCCGAGTTCCTCTTGTTCACATCCTTCAAACAAAATCAAATCCTGATCACTTCCATAAACTAGTTTTTTATTCAAAATCAAATTTAATTTAGTCAAACCTAAGACATGAATAGTTAAGCAACCTCATACCTGACTTGTTGTCGATTGTTTATTGGCACGTGCGTTTGTGGAGAATTTACAAGATCCAATTATAAAACTAACTCGTGAATGAGAATATTAATTTTCCTTAAAAATGTTATACAATTTCAAAAACTATACTGTCCCATTTCAAAATAAATAAATAAAAAGGTAAAGAACTAATATATAAGGATAAATCATAAGTGATACTGATGAGTGATGCCATATGCACTAAAACACATGCTACGAGCATAGAATCAAAATATAGTGAAGTACTATAATAATGTGAGCAGTATTATCCATTTATCCTTAAATCTGAAAAAAGCAAAGGGCACCTTATTCCTTCCCAAATCAAGTAATATTTCCATGTGCTTCTTTGGTTCTCTATAGCTTATTCATATATAATAAATTCCACATTCGTCGAACCAATTATATATTATACTTTTTGAGCAATGTAGAGGGAGAAAAAAGATTAAATGATGTGAAGGCAAAAGCATACAACAATCTCTTTCAAGTTTTGAGTCAATCAAAATCACATGCGTGAAAGGACTAAACTCTCTTTAGTCTCTCCACAAAGCTTTCGGCCACTTTGTAGGACAGTAAGTATCAACATCAACACTATTGCAAAATAGAGAGATTAAGATAAAATAGATCCAATAATTATGGTTCGAATATGTTTGACGAGATTACATTTTTTGACTAAAGACTTTTAACATACTTCATATCAAGATGATGAAACAAGATCAAAGACAACAAACAAAAAAAGGTTGTTGTGTTACGTGCGTATCAAGCCAAGATTACTTTTTCACTGTTATTACTTCCTAGCTTTACCGTAGCCATCTCTCAGTGTGACTATCCGCTTGAACACTAGATTTTCCGGCGGTAGAATCTTTGTCAACCGCAATTACGAAACACCAGATTTTTTCATCTGTCTCTTGATTTTCAAAACTAAATGAAAAAAATAAATACTTGTGATGTTTGATGTTTTACCTAGCCTCTCGAACTGTCGTTTGTCTCCAAGCGTAGTTTCTTTAAGAGTTGGTACAGCAAAAGCATCTGCAACTACCACTTTGGAGTTTGTGTTAATGTCATCTCCACTTGTGGTGGGTTCTACTACTATTCAAGGACGGTGACAACTCCGGTCAATGATCCAGAAACCAAGAAAAGAACCTAGAGATCACATACCTCTGAGTTAACAAGTTTGTCAAATAGTCGGATTTGGACCTTTATTGGGTCTTTTCAAGGGGTGGGTTTAATATCCAATGTACAACTCCCAGCCCAAGAAAACACTATTAGAAAGATGAATAACAAAACTGACTATTAAGAAGGGTAAAGATCTAGTATTGTTAAAAGAAACCTTTGGTTTTGTCTTCTAATCAGGATCATACTCTGTGTGGATCTCAACAACAGTTTCATTGTCATCAGCAAGAACAACCTCAGTGCATTTAACAGGGAAAGCAAATCTGCAAACACGAACCGCATTACTTACTAAAAAAAGTTGCAGTTGTCTCTGTGTGCGCTGTATCTATGTACCTTAGCAAAGACTTATTTACCTGAGTGAGAGACCATAAAAATCTTTTGTAGCTGATGCGTAGCACCAAATTGCTCGTTCAATGTATATAACTCTAGAGAAAGGAACCTCTATATCAAGAACCAAAACAATAACATATTAAAATACAAAGGCATTCCACATCATGTGTAGATAGGAAGTCCTTAAAACAGAGTTTTCACCTAGTAGAAGGATGAGGAGTCGGCACTCTCGGTATCAAGCCAACTTTTTGCATCAAGCTTTTTACCTTATCTGACTCCACATTGCTGATGGCCACTTCTTATCATTTCTTCAAAAAGGTTCAGAGATTCTTGAATAGGCCTATCCTTCCAGGGGCAGTTCATTTTCGTGTCCCTGTACTATTTTATATCTTCTGCAGTCTGATATTACCGAGTCATGTTAATCCATTGAAGAGTTTATTGAGCAATGAAAAATTAACTATCAGATCAAATTAGTTCCGTTCAACCTGGTAATCAACATATGCATGGCCTATTCGGATCAACTCAACTGCCAAAGTAAAAGCATTGTTCAGACTACACACAATATAACCACAAAAATATTGGTCTTACGAAGCATACAGCATTATGACCCATTAGAAGTATCTAAAACCTCATTCACAGAGCCATCAATGAAAAACACCTATGTGAACTAATGGAACTAATAAATCATGCAATAACAAGGTACAACAAGTACACTGTTTCTGTCAAAATCTTGTATGTTCTATTCATTTTCTTATGTTCTCATTACTTAGAAGTATGAAGGAAGAGATTCAAAATTGAAGACAGTGTGCATAGAAACCTTCATAGAAAAAAATATTGGAAATAAACCTTCATAGAAACAAATGTTGGAAATATAGTAAAAGCTGTGAATTATTACCCTAATATCTTCAGATGGCTCCGGAGTCCGGAGCAGCTTTCCAAAGCAGCCTTCTTTTGCTAAACTTAAGACAAAAATATGAAGAACTGAACTGGCAAGATAAACCAATATTAAAATATCACAGTAACGCAGCAAAGACCAACCTTTAGTTTGGTAACGCAGCAAAGACCAATCTTTAGTTTGGTAACTCAGCTCCAATTTTGTATTCATGTTCTCTTCAAAGATTTCACTAACGGTTCCTAATATCTTCTACCGAAACTTCAACCCCTGTGCCAATAACATATTGAGGCTATCATTTCAGAGTCTACCCAATGCAACAACATACAGAGATCCAAGTATCATGACAAGAACAATAAAGATATACAATTCAAGCTCAAAGCTACATATTCATTCAGAAGTATTATAGAGGAAAAAACAACATAACCAACCTTAGAGGACATGATGTAATTGAGAAACTCTGGAAGATGCACAAAGAGCCTCTTTAGGGTACTTCATTGCAACCTACCACACATCAATGCCACCATTGTAATGCAAATCATCAAAGCAATGTAGTGTTTGGACACTAAAGATAGACCAAACGGGCGAAATCAAAAATGGGTTTTTAAATCAATGAGAGAGTAACTCATGGAGTAAAGCATGATTTCCAGTTGTTCGGTCGCCTCATAAGACGCAGCAACCCAAATTCAATAGAATTCGAGGAGAGGAATTGGGGAATTTGAGCAAATTCCGATCTAGTTCACTTGTAAATTTTGGTTTAATCTTCGGTTCACTTGTAAATGCTGGTTTAATCTTTTGTTTAATTCTAATAAACTCGTTGATTTTGTATTGTTTTTTCGTTGTTTTTT